AGTAAAAGTGATGTTCATATATTTCCAAAGGAGGAAAATGGATCATGCCCCACTTGGTAGAAAGTGCAAGAAGATCTGAGATGTGCAGAACTTCGATAGTGCTACACAGACCCCAAACAAATTCACCTTTATGTTCCTAGTGCACCACCCCACATCTGCACAGATTCCTCAGGGGATCACTGTTCAGGGTTCTGAGCACCAGAGTCAGAGTTTAACAGGATTCAGAGCTTCTTCAACAGCTGGAAGAAGTTAGGAATATAGTTACAAGAGTTGAAGAAATTTCAAGAAGGGCAGGAAGGAGATGCTCAAAATCGGTCAGCGTATATCTAAATATGGGCTAAGAGCAAAGGGCAGGAACTCATAGTCAGAACAGTGACTACACTGCTGCTCCCCCTTCCCAGGTTAGGCTGTCCAGGTAGGTTCGAGAGCTCCCACAGGGTAGGAGAGGGTGCCATGTGATTAAGTACTGGGGCGATTCCCAAGTTCTATTCTTAACATGCTGTTCTGCTCCTCTCTGCTCCATTCAGCCAAATGCTTTGCAGGCCCAGTACCATGAACCTCCTGCAGGTTTACAGGAAAGGGCTGCAACTGAGCCAGTGTATATACACAGGCACATTCAGGTAAGCAGGCGGCCACATGGTGTGTTATGGGTTGTATCTAGATGGACTCCTAAATCATCATGTGTTTTGGGGAAGTGACTGGATCATGGTGATGTGTTACTCCTCACTGGATTAGTTCACTGATGAGTTTATAGCTAAATGTGATTTTGGGAGGTAATCCTGGATCAAGGTGGTAGTCACTGGGGGTATGGCCTGGGATGGTGTAACTTCCTTCCTCTTCCCTGGGATCTGTGTGCTTCTGGTGCCTTGTCAGTAATCCTCCTCTGCCAGGCCCCTCTGCTGTGCTGCCCTGCCTTGGAGTCAGTGATAGACTGAAACCTCTAAAAACTGTGAGCCAAAATAAACCTTTCCTCCTGATACTAGTGGGTGTCAGACATTGTGTCTCAGCGATGAGAAAGTAAATTAAGACATGGTGAAAGGAGATCCACAGACTACAACTCCTGCCTCTACTCCTGCCGCCCAGAGCAGAGGGCTCCAAGTAGGCTGAGCCCACGAAAAGTTCACTGAGAAAGTGTTATGGGAGGATGTTTCAGAAAAGGATGTTTGGAAGCAGGTCCATTGTTTAGGTCATGTTTTGGCAAACATTACGTGAGGGTATTACTCAAACTTGGAAGCTCTGATAACTTATTTAAGTTTCCAATGAAGAATTTCAGTATTGTAGAGCTTTTGATTAAAAGGTATAAAACTCTAACACATTTTGATTAGTTTTCATGTCTGCCAGAAGATAGAAATTCACTAACCAGATTTCAAAGCTTAGCATAGTTGGTGGGTAAAAAGGACTGAGATTATCACGTAGGGGACCAGTGGTAGTCTTCCTTCATGTGCTTACTCGACTTTGGAAGCCATCGTTTTCAGCCGTAACAGTGCATTAAAACCAACCATCAAGTTAGGCCAAACCTAGAAAATGGCATCTGAATTATTATTAGATCATAGTTTAACATTTAAAATAATGAAGTATTCATTGTTCTACTAAATATATCAGATAGGTGTGTGGATGTAGCTCAGTGGTACAGTGCTTGTCTAGTAATAAGGCCCTGGGTTTCTCAGCACTGCAGAACAAAACAACACGACACAACACACTGGATAGCAACTTTAACAACTTTATCTGTATTTAAACAATCTATTTTAAATATATTTTACTTCATTGAAACTTTTTTATAATTTAGTTATGCAAAAAAACTTAATAAACACACATATAGTGGCACAAATATACTTTGGTATTAGGTTTCCAACCAGAATAGTTGGTCATTTGGTTTAGATATAAAGGCCATACATCTATGAAGCCTGGATCATTAGAACATTTGTTTCCTTATCAATTTTGTCTGCTAAATAATGGTCATTGTGGGTGATTTCATAACAACACTCGTGTTAGATAAAAAGAGCTGAAAACCAAGACCAGACCAGAACCATAACAAGCCTTTATTATGGGGAGGATCTGCTAGGCTGTCTCTGAACAAAGGAGGAAAAAGCAACATGGCAGTACAGGGAGCTTCTTTTATAGGAGTGAGGTGGGGTAGCCTAAACTGGAGTTGAGTGAGGTAGTATTCAGAGATTGGAGGAACTTGTGACATCACTAGCTGCTAGGAGGTAGCAAGTATCAGGTTATTATTTTGGTGTGAGAAGAGGCATGGTGGGAAGAAGCCAGTTCTTTGTTGGGAGAAGCCATATTTTAACATGGAGGCTGCTATTCTATGTGGCAGCCATTTTAAGGCAAGGGAAATCTAACAACTTCTATATCCTTAATCATTCTAATAACCTTCTAGAGATGACAACAAAAACCTACCAAAGACAATTCTGTGATATCTTTTCTTCTAAATGCATTTCAATGCAGAAGTTTTTAAATGAACAAAGGTAACAAATGGGCATTAGAACAAACATGGCATCTGATGAATGAACATTGAACCTAGTTGAGCCAGACTCTGTTGCAACATTCTTCTCCATGGAGTCCACATGCACTTGCATCACTTGCTGGAGATTTAATTCCTGGTAAGGCCACTGAAGATATTGCAGGAGCAAACCCGAGTTGGGCTCCTTGTAGCACTGATCACCCTTGCGCCAAACTGATGTCATCAGATGTGATTCCTAAGACTCACTGGAATTAAAGTTGTATGGTGTCCACTTGTGATAGTTAATCTTGATTACCAACTTGATCAAATTGAGAAACGCCTCAGGAATTAGTAAAGAACCATTCTGGGAATGTCTGTGGGTACTTTCAGAGACAAGTGGATTCTAAGGGCTCTAAATTCATCCGTGGAAGAACATGTAGATGAATTACTGGGAGCTGATGGAGACTTAGAAGGTGGGGTGTAGCTGAAGGGAGTCACGAGGGCACGCCCTGGGGGAATGTATCTGAGGCGAGCAGCTTTCCTCCTGCACACCTTTCGGCCATGATGTTTGTGCTTCGGAGCCAGCCAACCATGAACAAACCTCTAAAACTGGGGGTCAAAATGAAGCTTTCCTTCTAAGTGGTGTAAATGAGGTATTTGGTCACAGCGATGAGAATCTGATACACCACTAACAGGCAGAAGAGTAGGCACCTCATCTTGTACTGACCAGTATAGGTTTCTACCTCACACTTAGCTCTTCTTACATAAGATGAGATGGGAATTTGGGAATTGATTCTGTAGTACACAAAGTAGGTTTCCTCCAGCTTTTCCAGTCCAAGATTATTTTGAGCTTGCCAAACCTTTAAAGCAGTTTTAAGAGAGCATGACTGGTAAATTATTGTACCACATAGAAGACTTTTGGGTTTTAATTTACAGAATGTTTGGGAACACCAGCAGAAGGGAGCAGATGAAGGGTAGGAGGAAGTCCCAGAGGCCAGCAGGGGTTTCTGCAGTTTTCTCCAACAGTGCATCCTCAGAGGCAGAATCATTCTGTGAATCTGAGTCCACATGTTACTAATGGTATATACTTAGATGAAAGCCTCTGCAACATGACTCTTATGTATGCCTGCTTTCATTTAAGTTAGGTAGGTTCTAAAGTTAATGGTGGTGGTTATACTGTCAGCCCTATTAACCCAGAACTGTATTTCCCAGTTTCTTACCTTGGTGGTTCTAAGTCAGGATTGGCCCCAAGATTTGCCAGTCTGGGCTTTGGAAGGCAACAGCAAAGTAAGGCCATTTTCCTCTAAAGGTAATCATTGTTCAAAGTGGTGACACAGGTGCCTGGCTAGTTCCAGTGTGCCTTTTCTCTGCTGCTTCCTGAAGGGAAGCTCTAGGTCCACCACTAAACTGTGGCTGTAGATCTACCAAGTGGTTCTCATGGCGGCCACAGATTCCCTTAGAGCTCCACATGTCTCCTGCCAGGCTGTTTGCAGCTGGCTGTGCTTTGCATTTCGGACACAATAACTGGTGACCTCTGTTGATTTCCACAGCACTCACAGTCCTAATAGCACTCACAGTCACACATGACTAACAGAGTTGGTCTCATAAGTGCCAACATTCACACCCCATGTGGACATTACAATGTCACAGTGCTTGGGTACCACTACTGGAATCAGAGCTTATATCTCAAATGACTTAACCAATGCTTTGGTAACAGTCACAATGAGACCCACAGGTGTTCACGAGGTACTTTACTTCTGGGCTACAAAATTCAAAGTTAAAAGAAAAACCATAAAAATATGTGCATGAGTTATCATTTTATTGCTTTCTTGTGTCTTAGTACACAATGTTTTTGAATAGCAATAAGATGTCCAAAATTCAACATTAATAAACATTCAAACAGTAAAATACAATGTGGAAAAAAGCCCTCAAATGTTAAGTAACCCAAGCTCTACGTGTCAGAACCAACTGGGATAGCAGCTCCTGGATTATCATCATGGCTCAAGATGAGAATTGCTATCCTCTGATCCAGGGAACAGAAAGGAGTCTCAAATGCCAACCAACCCTGTAGGCACTGGGGGAGCACTTTGGTCTCCCTTTGCAATGGCTGGGAGATTTTTGTAATGACTCCGAGTACGTCAATCTGCCCTCTCACCCCAGGTGTAAAAAAGGTCCTGCTGCCAAGACAATCAAAAAAAACTCCCATGGTTACCACAAGAACATGAAGACCAGAAACAATCCTGCTGTCCAGGGGCGGCCCGCGCCTGCAGAGTTCTCTAGTCCTTTGCAAAGAAATAACCCATTCTGAGAGCACAGAGAGAGGCCTTGTGCGGTGACCAGCTGAAGGCAGGGCAACTGTGAGCAGCATTTTGCTCGAAGGCACAGGGTTCTCATCATCCGGAGGATGGGGAGTCACTGTTGTGAGCTATGTTCAAAATACACATCCTACCTCTGAAAAATTGTTAGCTGCCATATATCTGATTGCAATTTCAGCCTGGACTCTTTTGCAAGGCCCAGAATCTTGGGCACCCCTGAAAATCTTGCTGTGCCTTGCTCCTTCTGTAAGGAATCAGATTTCCAAGAGGTTGGGCCTCAAAGGAACACAGCTGTAATCATACAACAGGAAAAATAAATACATGACTTTGTAGTATGGGTATGAAACTATCACAAAAAAATAAATATCTCAGACCACGTGCTAACAATACCTGGTAGAGTCTGAAACTGGTGATTTTTACCATAAAATATTTATTTACCATGACTTTGATCAACTACATTTAATCTGACAAGCAAAAATGTATGAAAAACACTCTAATTGTTTTTAAAAGCAGATTTCGTTAAGTATCAAGAATATAGATCAGATTTACTGATAGTCATGAAGATATTCAACTTAAACAAATCCCATTCCGTCCTTTCCCACACTCATCTTAGGTCTCCATGACAAGAATGGACAAGCGCCAACTGCACCTCGTCAGTGACACTGAAGGTGTGGTCACACGGACTCTGTCTTAAAGAACAACAGAACCACACATACTTTTGCTTGCAGAATCATCTTGAGCCCTTCCTGCTTTGGAAATCTCAGCACTACGAATGCTCTTTACATACATGGGGCTGCTCAAATAGGAAACAACAAGAAAACATAAAGGTGCATTTATTTATGTCCATGCCATCTAAAGCTACTGAGAACAGAAATCGGGACTGGAGAAGGGATGAATTAGAACCCAAAACAAAAATAACAAATACACTGGGACATTTGTCCTCTAATTGAAAGTCTGAACTCAAAGAAAATTTGTTGGCAAGCCAGTTTCCTCCCTGAGAAGTTCACGTCACACTCCACTCTCACTCCAGCATCTTCTGACACGATTAAGGCCTAGACAGTGTTAGGAAGGTGTGCAATCTCTCCGTAGAGCTGTCAGTCACCTGCAGGCTCAGGCTGCCCAGCACTCGGCTCCACAGGCTGCCTTCGCAGCTCCTCCACCATCTGCAGCAAGGCAGCCCGCTCCAGCTCCAAGGCCAGTGTGGCCTGCTTCAGCTTGCTCTCGCTGGTCAGGAGCTTCTCTACCGTAGATTCAAGGCTCTGGATCTTACCATGTGCCACCTGCAGAATGAAGAGAAATGAGAATGTACCGGCTAACACCACAGGGATCCGCTGTGCCTGGCACTGTCCAGCTTAGAGAGTACTTTGGAGCACTGGCAGAGACAAGCCTGTGGATGATGATTAGTTCTGGTCACAAGGCAAGACTTCTCCCAGCTCCCCTTACAGGCTGGCTGGGTTAGGCCCTAACAAACACCAAGATCCTCCCGCATTTTCTCCTTGCAGGGCTGCTCTGCATGCCAGATGCTGGAGTGGTGGCATCACACCTTACACGGAATCTGCCCCCCTGGTACCCTCAGAGGGAGGACAGTGATGACATGGCCAAAGAATGCTTCAGGGAGAAGGGCAGTGTTCAAGGACACACAGACACCACCTGTGTTAGGCCAATGGGCCTGCGAGCTTTATTTACTTGGGCACAGGAGCCCGGCCTATTCTGACTAATGTATGTATCTACATGGACAAACTGATTTGATTGGAAAGGTAATAAGGGAAACGAAAAAAAATAGGAAAAAATGAAAAAATGGAAATGAAGTGTTTGTAAATGGGGAGGGGAGGAGTGGGTGAAGGGAGGGTAGGGGTAAGGGGAAAAAATGAGAACCAAGACCTGTCATGTAAAGGTACAAGATCCCAATGATGAATGTAACTGTACTGTATACTTAAAATGTACCAATAAACTCAATTAAAAAAAGTGATTTGATTGATGATCAAAAAGGTTCTGCAATTCTTTTTATTTCCCACAGAATAACAAAACATCCCTAGGGCAGGATATCTGGGCACAGAAAGCCTAGAGTGGCCCAGCATTCTGCCGAGAAGTGCCCAGGCACTGTCTCAGCTCACTGCTGCATTATGCAATGCTGTGGCCAGTCAGGAATGACTCTACCTCATTAACCAGCCTGTTCCTGTACATGCCCCAATGATTTTAGGTGGGAGAAATGGGACACATTTTTTTTTTCTCATTTCAAACTGGGAAAATAGTTTTAAGACAAGATACTGTAACCGTTTTGCCAACCAGACAACTCCTATCTCAAAGTCTAGAGCCAGTGGTACCATTAGAATACTCAAAACACAAGGAAAAATTGCTGCTCGTCTGGTGTAATCTCTAAACATACTGCTCCTCCAACTCCTACCCACTGTCAAGGCTTAGAGCGCCCCCGCCCCCCAACACTCTGAAGTCCCACCTCATTCTGAGGTGCACCACGAAGCTCAAGGAGTAGTGAACTAGTCTGCATGGTCACTTGCCACACAACTTTACCAGGGAACCAATTTTGCGTGGTTAGCAGTGAACTAATTTGCATGTTTTTTTCTGTTCTATGTGATTGGCAGGTCCTCTCAATCAGACTGAAGTTCTTTTGTGGAAAGAAGTCTGTTTAACATCATGTGATTAAACATATGGTGAATGTTAAAGTTTTAAAATTTGTTTCAATAAAAGACACACTGCCATTAACCCCCTCAAGATTACCCCCCCACACACACACACTTATTCACTGTTCTTGCCACTTTCTGTAGCAGTTTTGGAAGATTTCTTTTGTATCTTTTTGTGGCTGCCTTGATATCCTGAATCAAATCAAAATCTTTACAGTAAGTTCTGTCTAACAGGTCATCCTCATCCATGTTATTGACTGGATCTGGCAGCATGCAACATCTCACTTTTGCTCAATAAAAATGAGCATTAAGGTAAACAACCTGAATTGATTTAATTCATCGAGGCAGCCATGACAGTGCAATTGAACACACTCACAAAGGAGGATTCCCAGAACTGCTCCAGAAAGTGGCAAGAATGAGGACAAGTATGTCTGAAGAAGATGGAGTATTTTGAGGAGAATTAATGGCAATGTGTCTTTTACTATAATATTTTTTTATATTTAAACATTCGCTGTGTTACGTGATTACATCTTGTATCTCTGACATGGTCTCACTTCCCCTGGCCCAGGTTCAGAACGGGAATCAATGACTTGTAGCTGTTTATTATTATGAAAAATCCACATGTGTAACTGGGAAACACTTGGCATGTTTGCATAATTGTCTCACATACTGCTGGACAAAGAGGTAAGAGTCTCATCTCTGCATTCTAAATGGCACTTTGACATGCAGTTTGGCATGTCTACCAAGTATATGAATAGAACAAAGTCGGAAAACAGGTCAATTTTGGTAATGGGGGGTTATGCACAAAACTTCAGGATTTATTATACACCTTTCTTATACAAAAGGAAGAATAGCGGTCACATATGGAATACATATTCTCACAGAGAATAGTAGGAAAACTATACCCAAGTATCTGTGCACTGACACATGACAGTATTTATCCCCACTCAGAGCTGCTGTGTCTCATCAGGCGTGGTGCCCCCCAGGATGGTCAGGACTTGGTAACTGTGGCGAAATGAATTGGCACAAACTGGAGTCCTGGATGACTCCCCCACAAATGCAGAGCCACTGGGTCAAGAGAATGAACATCTATTATTACCAATTACGCTGGAATGCAGATTTCTGAGCAGTTTTTCTGGACTCTTTGTTCTTACAAACGGTGGAGAGTATTATATAAGCAGCATGAAAGTGCTTGCCCACCCTTCACCCATTACCAAGAAGCCAGGTGGCCATTCACTTAAATGCACCTTTTATATGTAAACTGCCTTGTCTTACCAAGCCGGATACTTCCAGTCTGATCATGAATTTAGTTAAAGCATTCCCACTGTGTTGTACTTCTGGAGTCCACTGCAGGTTGGAAACCATTTAAAATAAGCACCTGCACCACATACCCCACTGCCAGATGAGGCTCTCTGTCCCCCTGAGACTTCCCCTCAGGTTATAGCTGAGACTTCTGGGGGAGATAGTATAAAGGTATGATTTCAGTTAGGACGACTCAATCTCAGGAACAAGGAAGTTAACTTTCAGAATGTGACTGGCAGTTAGGACTGGTAAGAAAGGCATTTTCCTCTTCAGAAAATATCTACTAAGGTCTACTGAGATAAATGCCTGCTGGGAGAAATGTATTTCAGACGAAGGTTGCAGGCTTTCCAACACTGGCTTTTCTCACATCTCCACCAAGCCTGTATCTATCTACAGAGAAGCAACTTTCCCTGGAGAATACTCAGACCCAATTAGAGAGGAAGGTTATTCTATAGACAGCCCAGAGGACTTCATCAACAACTTTAGAGCAAAATTTAAAAACACAGCCAAACTATTCCTAGTGACAGCATTCACCCATTAGTGACACGAAAAAGTAGAATATATGGTGACTGTGTGCCATCTGACAACATAGGCGCTGCAGCCCGCAGTGAGGTCTTCCTCCTGTCCCCGTCACGATGAAGCTACTGTGCAGAGCGGGCCTTCTGAGTGCACAGGCCATTCTGCCTTTCTTCTGCATGCACTTATCCACCTTAAGGTGGCAGTGTCTAGAGAGGAGAGCCATGCCCTTTGTCACTCAAACCTTTGCATTTGCACCAAGGACACCCCCTTCCCCAAGTGATGGACATATGTTCTGGCTTATTCCATTAGGTAGATTAACGTGTCACTTTGCTCCCTTGAGATCGGTCCCTCTGTGGACCTAGCTTGCTTCTCTTGTGGCAGTGAAATCTCTTGATCCTCTCACTGTGCAAAGCACAGTTGCTGTCATTCAGCTATGAGTACCACAGCATCTGGAACCCAATTCATCCCTAGGTCTGTCTCCTAAAAGGACAGGTGCAGAAAGAGACTCTCAGAAAGTTCTGGGGCTATCTATCTTAGCAAGGGTAATCTGCTCGGAAATAAAAGGACCGATTCTCCTGGGATACCTTTGATCTCAACTACAAACACACCAGAGTGAGAAAGGGCCTCTGGGTCATGGGAAAGCCTAGTCTGCTGTTGCCTTTGCTGAGTTAATGAACTACCACACACGGTGGTTCAGGAAGCTGCTCTATAAATATGTTCTACCTGCAATTGTTCAAGGAGGTCAAGGTTCTGTTTGCGTAAGCTGCTGTTGGTTTTCTCTAATTTATCCATTCTTTGGTTGTCACTGAGGGGAGAGGAATCAATAAGTTCTTCTTGAAGCACGTGGTACTCAACTTCATAAGCTTGTAACTGTTTAGCAATGTCCATCTCAAACACCTGTTAGATACAGAAAAGTCATCAGGCTCCAAAAAGGAGAAAAATCTCACACAATGACAATGCAACTACACACACACACACACATACAAACACACACGATCATGTCAAGGAGCATTCATCAATCACCACCTCACAATGCTTGGTAACAGACGAGAAATATGAAAAACTCTGCACTGAGGAGGTAATGATTTTATTTGGAAAGAAAGGGTATAAAAAACATCTAGAAATAATTCCAAGGTAACAATTAGCAGAGGTGCCAGATACTCATCTTCCAAAAGCTAAAACCTTATTTTTAAAAAGACAAAAATTTATTTTTAGTTCTTACTTCTTTTCTTTGAAATTCTGATTAGGTTAGAAATATCAACTATGATTTAAAGGAGAAAACACAAAACCATATGCTACTTGTACAATCACCAAGCCAAGGTTTAATTATAACTCAGGAGGGTTTCCAGAGTTGCAAGAACAGCTAAGTAATGGAACTGTTTACTAAAATATTCTTTGCACGGAGATATAAAAAAATGAGGCAAAACCCGAATGTCACCCCCACACACAGATGAGTGAATATGAAACAATGCCTGAGTTGTCTACTTTCCCATAATGTTAACAGTGATGACAAAACCACATGTGTGAAACACAACCCCAACATGCACAAGTGACTCAAGCGATGGTGCCTGTACTTTCTCCTGGTGAGAGAGTTGCAGGGCTTGAGGAGGCAGAGTTGGAGTCAGAAAAGAGATGCTGCTGCTGCCCAGCACAAGCTCTTCCTCTCTATGTTCTCTGTGGGAACCCACAGCTGGGCACCCTCTGCACGGGGGTAAAGCCCTTACTCAGATCTGAGAACTTAGTCAAGCCAGGACCATCTAAAACAACCCTGACAGGTCAGAACATAGTTCAGAGAATGAAGGCTTCACAAGAGCACAAACTGCCTCTCTACTGCATGTCCTTACAAAAGAAACTAACACAGTTAAAAGCCATAGAAGCCAGGCATGATGCTGTGTGGCTGTAATCCTAGTTACTTGGGAAGCTGAGGCAGGAGAATCACAAGTTCATACCGGGTCTGGGTGATTGAGACTCTGCCTCAAAATAAAACACGCAAGATAACAGGCCAGTGATGTGTCTAACACTTGTTTAATTTCAGTTGCACAAAGCCCTGGGTTAAATAAAGCTCCAGTTCCAAATAAGAAAAAATAAAGAATGAAAAGTAGCTTCCCCTGATGGTACTCTACAAGCTTTAATTTTCAAAGGTCATGTTTACTTTTGCACCATTCTTTGAGATGAACTTTTCAGCTTCTTTTCAGTTTAATTCAGTGATCAATGCTAAATAGGTTCAAAAGTCACTCTGTTTCTAAAAACTAGAAAATATCCTGTCTGTGTCATGGGCGGGGGGGGGTAGGGAGAGGGAGAGGGAGAGAGGGAGAGATTTATTACACTTAGCTGTTTGTTTTTTTAACTCAAGTGTCCTGCTCTATCCGCATTTCACAGAAGCCAGTCACCAAGAGCTGTTCATTCTACCAGCTGTGAGGCACCAGCCCCTCTCCAAGGGGACTGGGTCCCATCTTTCTTCTGGGCTCATCTTGGGCAATCCTGCCTAGTCATGACTAGTGGGGAGCTAGTGCCTTCCCATCATCCTGGCTTTACAGTTTCGCCAAGGTTTTCAGGGAAGTTCCAGAACTTTGAGGCTCAAGAAAAGGAGCACTCTTTTCAGCTTGCCAAAGTATGAATTACCCAATTCCCTATTTTCAATAATGTTTTGAAAAAGATAAGCTAATCGTTTTTGTTAGTGAAGCAACACAGCTATATTATAGGAAGCTTGAAAAACAAAAGAAAAATCACCAGTGCAGTTTCTATCATCTTGCTATACTTCCTTTCAGCTTTATTTCTGTATGTTCTATGGTAAACATAATCAACATAAAATGTCCTATCCCACTGTTTCACATATCATATTTTAAAAGCTTCTTTATGTTGCTCTATGTTCTTTAAAATTATAATTATATAAAAGGCTGCATGGTTTTCTAGCACCTTGCCCCAAACCATATCAACTTAAGTACTGAACGTAAGTACTGTCACTTTCAACTATAAGAGAATATCCTTATACATAAGGCTTTTCCCACACTTTTAGCTATTTCCTAAGGACACATTCTAAGAACTGGGATGAGAATTTAAGGAGTATGAATTTTTATTGGCTTATGATACACACTGGCACACTGCTTCTCAAGTGGGCATAATTGAGGTACAATGTCACTAACAACATACCAATACATACAGTGTACCGCTGATGTTGTGAAATGGCGTTAAAAATGTCCGGTTGTTAATCTACAGGAGGGCGTTATATTATGCATACAGGGGAATCATGCATGAAGCTAATATCTCCCCAGCTGTCTGTTGCCTAGATGGCTCTCCTCTTCAGTGAATTGTCTGTTTATGTTCTGGGCTCACTTACTACTAGAGACTCAGTTTTTCTGAGTCAATTTTTCTCTGCAGTCTGTGGGATCCGTAAAATAAAGCCATTAACTCTGGAGGCTTGAAGACCTAGCCACACACTTTCCATTTTCCTAACCCCACACTGTCCTGGTCTTGGTGGCACACAGGGGCTGGGCAGTGGGAGTGCTCTGCCTTTGTATGGGCCAAAAGGGGCACTCTGTCAGCAGTGAAGTTAGAAACAACAGCAGACTAAAACTGGTCTGCTTTTTATTATCACCACATGTGAGCAATTCCGAACAATGCAAGAGGTATTGCTGTACTCCATCCTCTTGGTGGGGCACTGCCAGACCTTTCACACAACTGCTCACTTTCAGCAGTGTCAACTGCCCAAGAACAGAGGCCTTACCAAGGGAAAGGGGTGGCCACCAACCATGTTGCCACTGCCTCCTCTGAACACAAGAGCTGTTAGGACTCTGGTTCCATCCTACGAGCTTACGGGCAACACCACATTGTTCTTGATAAAGTGGTGCACAGCAGAGCTCTCACATGTCTGGTGGATGAGAACCCTTTGGGGAGCTTGGGAGACTTCAGCTTCTGACTCACTAAGTCTGCGATGAGCTACGAATTCTGTGTTTCTAACAAGTTCCTACGTGATCTGATGATGCCACTGGTCCAGAGCCCCAGGAATAAACATAAAGGATGTTAAAAAGAGGCTTCAGGCCCCACTTCCCAAAGCTGCTCTTAACTCTGTCTTTCTGCCATAAACCGAACTGAGGCTTGAGAGTTACACAGCACTCACTGTAACACTGACTTTCCCCCTGTTACTAATCATTCCCAAAGCTCCCTTCTTCCTGGGCCAGAAGATGCTTATAGTTTACAAGCAATTGGCAGTTCCCTGGGTGAGTGTGAGGTCACACTGAGGAGCTGCCTCAGAGGCTCTGGCTACCCTGGGGTTTCTACCTGTCCTGTCAAATCCCAGAACAATCTCACTGACTGCTCCCAGCCTGGCTAGACTGAGCCTGAGCTCCAAACCCTGTTCTCCTCAGCCACGCTTGCCTTCTGTGGGGAGGACATTTAATGAAATGGGGCCCTAGCTGTCACAGAGGAGTGCTCAAAAACACACCGCCCACGACATGCAGCTGTCTACCCACAGGGCCTTCTGCTCTGTCACAGCAGTGAATGTTTCCATCACTCCTACCCTGGGATCTGGTACCTAGGCCTACAAGGTCTGGGCCTGCTGAAGATTCTGGAGAAAAGGCCCTGGCAGAGGGGGCAGCAAGCCTGAGGTAGGGCTCAGATGTCAAGATCCCGACAGAAACAGGGAGGACAGAGGGCTCCCTGCAACTTTATTTTTTTTAATCAAGACTGACTCTGGAATGAAAAGCTGGGCTCCTAATATAGATTCTGTGCAACCTACACCCTCACACCCGCCCCATTTCCAAGTGGAACAACACATCAGGAACCTGGGACTGCTCTTGGTTCTCTCACACCTGTGCCTCTGGCATGTCATGATCTTCCAGCTTAGGGCTCAGTCAGTTACAGCCCTTGGACCAATATGTCCCACTGCCTGTTTCTGCAAATGAAGTTTTACTGTGACACAGTCACTTTGCCCCTTCATACCTGTCTACAGATCCTCTGCAATGCACAGCCAAACCTGAGTAGCTGCAGCAGAGCCCTTACCAGCTGCAAAGCCTCCAATACTTCCTGTCTGGCCTCTGCACAAAATGCTGACTTAGCTCATTCTTTTAACTCCAGCTAGACTCAACTACCTTCATTCCAACAGCAGTACTCAGGCACCCCACGGCCTTGCTCCCATAGGCCCAGGCCCTGCCACTGCGAATGTGGTACTGCGCATGCCACTTTCTCTATGCCCACTTTCCTTATCTATGAAATTGGGCATTGTAACACTATGTCCCAGGGATGTTAAGGCGTCAGTAGAGTACTGAATCCCAAGTTTAAAACAGCTGCCTGAAACAAATCAGGCACAGAAGGACAACTGTGCTTTTCCCACACTGTGTTCATTTCTAGACAAGAGCTCCTGGTGCATGCTAGGATCCTAGGTACTCTCAGTATTACTTTCAACAGAAAAGGGCAGAAAAGGAAGTTTCCTGGGGGTTGACACCCAAGAGGTCAACTCACTGTCCACTGAGAGACTTGCCTCAGAGCCAGAATGTAGTGGGCAGATTTGATCTCAGTAACCAAGGCCCCAGCAGCTATGAAACATAAGTTTATGCAACAAAGGCTATAGAAAAGGGAATGAACAAATGAATATAAATATGCCAGAAATTAAAGAATCAAATGGACAGGGAACTTAGTATTAAGATGAAGGTAAAATCCAGAAAAACTCCATAATTAAATGACTCCAAGAGATGCTTGGTGGTGAACAGCTGCTAAAGCACTTTGAGGTCAGAGAAGTTGAAGCCCCACCCCTCCCTTTTGCAGTAGAGTGAGTGTGGGCCAGTACTGAACCACTTTACATCCTCTCAGGAATGCGCTCATGAGGGAATCAGATCATGTGTATATACAGATTCCCTAGAACCTGGCGAAAAGCAAGGACTCAACAAACCATCAAGAGGACCATGTCAGGGAAGTAAAATAGAAAAAGGCACAGTGACTGTTAGTTAACTAAAAATTAGGTGCACAGTGGAAAAGAACTGTCCTTTCACATGGTTATATGCAGTATGCAGAGATCCAAAGTAAGAATCAGTATGAAACCCTCTCCTTTTCTCAGGCCAGACTTGTATCTTTTTCTGTGTTTAACTATTCACCATTTAGTCTCCCAGCTAAACCTCCAACATTTCAGAGAACGATCGTTCTATCGTAAATGGAAACCAGGTACTGAAATCACATGTGCAACTGAATTTTGGGGAAAAAAACATACGCCAATAAAAGCAAATAGAAAAACTATACCAACAGGTAGATCTACAACATATATGCTTCCTAGCACAAACTACTATAAGTTTCAGTAAAACCTCAGTTCACAAATGCTTGTTTGTGAACAACTCAGTTAGACTTGTAAAACAAATTAAGTTCATAAAATGAGGTACAACTGTATTTTCAAAAAATTTCAATTAATACTATTCAGCAGAAAAAGCGAAGCACTCATTTTATAAAAGCCTGTATCTTACAAATGTATGCATCTCAGGAAAACAAACCAAAGCCTCGTAAATGTAAGAACCTGACAGCTTCTGCATGCTGTCGCATCAAACACTGCTGAGTTTTCTTGTGCCGTTTCACCACTGCACTCAACCACACACACCCAGTCATACGTTTAATCATTCAGCACTCATCTGTGATGCGCCTCCTACACGGCAGGCATTGTGTAAGAAGCTGCCGAGAACACAATGGGTAGGAAAGAGCTGTGCTCGAAGTTTAGGCTTCTACAGCTCCACAATTGCTTAAGCGACTGGAAGCCCTGGACTGAATCATACCTGATTGATGGTCTTCTCCATCTGCACCAGACCCAGGTTGGGTAGTGTGTTTTTTATGAAGTCCACTATGGTTTCTAGGTTTTCATGCTGCAGAATCAAAGGCTTATGGCTTCCCAACAGACTTAAAGCCACTTTAAATATGACTTCTGACCCCTGAAGAAAGATCATATCTGGGAAAACACAAGAAACACAGAATTAAACCATACCAATTTCTAGTGAAATACCATTCTGTTTCCTTTCCTTCACAGCATAGAGCAGGAAGGTGGGAAACATAGCCCCAAAGTGCAAATTTATTTCTTTTTAAGAACTAGTTATTTCACTGGGGTTGTCAAGACAATACTGCAAATGGTAAAAATAATATATAAACACACTGATTAGATTTTGTCACAGGTTCAGATAAATATTTTTTCCACTCTGAAAATGAATTAAAGCAGGCTTCAAAAGCTAAATTGAGAAAGAGACAAAATATTTTATTAGTCTATTTTTCCAGGAATGCTCTGGATTTTAAAGGACTTACTAGAACATGCTTTTATGAGGACTAAAAGAGTTTTACAGACAGAGTAATTGAAAAAGTGCCTCTATTTCCTCTGTTTTAAAGTAAGAGATGGAATTAAAAGATATCTAAGAACTGTAAAATGTCCACTCAGTTGCTGAGGTACATTACTAAATGTAAGCACATTGAATTTCAATTCAGTAAAAGACATTTTCTCTTTGAGGAGTTTAAAGAACTTGGTCAAAGTTGCTTTCTAGTTTTTGCCAATAGTCTGTATACTGATTTTATACAACAGGAGGAGGCAGCAGACAAGTTGCCAAGGTGACGGGATGAGCAGGACACCCTTCCTGTGGAGGTGGAAAAGAGAAGCTAATGTCCTAAGGCCAGCACAGCCACAGCAACATTAGTGGGTGGCTAAACTCAAGCAAGTTACCTAAGAAAATATACATAATTTAAAAGATAAAATATAAATATATTTTGGGGCAACAGTCAATGGTATCTTTTCCCTTTTATTTTTTAGCTTCAAGATAATGCAAGGACTAAGCTGTGAAGGGTCACAACAGTAAAAACAAAAGCAGGCAAGAGGACGAAAGCCCACTGCGATGCCTTTCAGGTGGCTTAGTGTGGTAATATGTATAAGCCACTTATACATGCCTGCTGCTGTGCAAACAGGAAACTCAGTCAGAGTGGCTTTCAGACAAAGCAGGGGAAGGAGACACGACAGGCCTGAGTGCTTGCTGGCCAGATTAGCCCTCAGGATGCTCCATGACCTTTATGAGGCCCTTAGTCACAGAAGCGGAGTTGGTGTGGACCTGGATGGGCCCTGGGCTGAGGTGCCTTCGCCAGCCGATCCACACAGAGACTATGTCACTTCCACAGACACCACTGCTGATGGCAGGCTGGCCCCAGGAGTGGGAAGGCCCGATCCCTGCTTCCCCCTGAGGATGGGAAGATAAGTTAGAGAAGTGACGGTATCTTTGAAATCTGGGCTGCTTCAGGGGAAGTTTAATATGTGCAAAGGCAGCGTCACGGACGAATACTCCTGTGAAATGCCTCGTGTCTAAACCACACAGACTAGCCATGTAATTCACCACTGCAGGAAATAAAAAGATCTAAGATACATTTTAAATGAAATTATATTTTTAAAAGAAAGGAAATTCAATTCTCAGTGATCTACACCAGCAATGCTTCTTTTTAATATATACACATTTATAGTTGAACAAAGTTTATCTTTCAGAATAAGAATCAAGATCTTCTTTGCAAACATCTTGGCAGATGGATTCTATTACCAGACCAAAAACAAGGGGAGTAAGTGCCTTTCACGGAGGCTGCACTGGATCCAACCCACAGACTCATAAATGCTTCCTGCTAGCCAGGTGCTCCGCTCCTCTCCACGGCCTCAGGGAGACCAGAGGCCTTAAACAGGGTCTACACTGGGTGCCCCCTGTGATGCAGAACCTGAAGGAAGACCTCAACTCTTCAAGCTTCTGCTTGGGAAGAAGGGGTTCCTGAAATTACCTGATGACACTTGGAGGCAGCAGCTATATAGTCTTTAAACAATCAGTCCCTCTTCTCCCGCTGAACTTTAAAACAATAAATAATTTTAAAATAATAATTTAAAAAATATTACTTATAATCCCACTACCTTTCAATCCTTATACATTTGTACTCTAGATTTATTTATTCATTTGTTTATTTTTGTGGTACTGAAGATTGAAGTGAAGGCCTTCACACTAAGCTCTTTTATTTTATTTTACTTTTTTTTTGGTACCGGGGATCAAACTTGGGTCCTTGCGCTTGCGAAGCAGGTGGCGGAACCACACACTACACTCTTTTAAAAAGAGCTTTTTTAAAAAAAATTATTTTGAGACAGTTCCTAAGTTGCCCAGGCTGGGCTTGAACCTGTGATCCTCCTGCCTCAGTCTCCAAGAGTGCTGAGATTACAGGTGTGCGCCACCATGCAAAGCTGAAGTTTTTAATAAAACAACAACTGTCCTTGGAAAGCGCAGTAGTGCCCTGCCTGGGAAACATGAACAGTGAACATCCCACAGCAATGCTGCAGCAGCCTACACCCACTTCCTTCCAACAGACTTTCCATCTTTTCCCTTCTCTGTTTTTTAAGTCACCTAGAAACAGGCAGGAAATTCAGGGAACTTTAAATTCAGCTGACTCCTTCACTTTGCACATTATTTGTGGAGAACAACATAAATAGCTACTTTCATTTGGAGACATTTGAGCAGCACTCTTACCATGTTACTGGGCATTTTTACAACTCCATGATGTGAAAGTACAATTTTCCTTTTCCTTTTCTAATTACCTTTGTCCATGGTAGTCCTCCCCTATCAACTTTCTCCTTCAAGGCTGCCGTCCTCCAGAGTGGGTAGAAGAACAGGAAGGCTGACAACTATACAGATTTTGCAAAACCTCAGTTCATCAGCTGGGCATGGTAAGGCACACCTGTAATCCCAGTATTCTGGGAGGCTGAGGCAGAAAGGTTGCAAGTTTGAGCCCAGCCTGGGTAATTTAGCGACTTAGTAAGATTGTCTCAAGCAATCAATTAATCAATCAAGGGCAGAGAATGCAGCTTAGTGCAAAGAGCCTGGGTTCAATCTCCAGTATCTCTATTAGCACCATCACCACCACCAAAACAACAAAACCCTCATTTTATCAGCATTGCATGACAGTGCCTGGAACACTCTGTTTCCTAGCCATACGATTTTGCCTCTATTTTCATCCCAAACCATTTGCTGTATGCCAAGTGGCTTCTGCAATCTGTGCCAAATGCCCAGTTTTACACTCCACCTCCCCTTCATCTCCTTGGCAGGACACCACAGAGGCAAACATCAGGGGTCTGACACTACAGCTCGCTCTTTGGCAAGAGCAAACCAGCTTCTATTTTTCAGATTTCCCCTCAAAGGCAGACGTGGTTCGAAGGCGAGATAGTGAGCATTTTTTCTAGGGCCCACGACACCCAAACACATAGAGGAGGCGAAACACACAGGAGGTAGCCATGTTGCCCAGACAGGTCTGACATCTGCCATGTATAATTACATTGTTGGCAGCTGACCTTTATGGAGCATATCCTTAACTGGAAATAACAATTAATATGTGAGCTACGCCGGTGTGAGCTGTAAATCTTTATGTTGTGTATAAAACAGTGAATGGTCAACAAAAGTCCATTTATTTTCAGGCTTTATCTAGGCTCAAAGGCTTACAATGAAATGGGTCCACACTAAGAAAGACAACAGAGTGAATGGCAAGTTCTAGAATTTGAAACAAGGCTACCTGCCATCATGGAGTTAAATAAACTGGTTTAAGACATCAAAGTTATATGTAGAAATGGATTTAAAATACCTGGCTTTTCAGTGGAATCAGGTAAGTGTTTTAAGTCCTGCAGGCTGGGTGGACACTCACTCAATAGCTCTGCTAGGTGACTGCACAGCACAGTGCAACTTTGAGATGCCACTTCCTGCCTCAGTCAGGTGGATGGAAATCTACCTCAGTGCAGCAGGGGGCTGAAGGACCCAGGAATGACAATCTTTAGCCTTACTGTAAGAAGGTCCAGGCCCCACCACAGCCTATGTAACAGAGAAAGGCATCCTTCCTCTATTGTCCAGCTTTCATTTATGAAGTCGCTAGAATGAGCTTCATTTGTTCAGCAACAGAAGGGCTGCCATCTCCACAGTGAAATTTGTTTGTTTTTCCAAGTCCTTTACCTACTTATGCAGCCTAAGGAAAGATTTGTCTTGTGCAGCCTGGAATCCTCCACAGGCAGCAGCTCCGGGTGTGGCCCGTGGGTAGGGAGGGCTCGGTGACCACCCCTCTACTCCTTCCAGCCAAGGCTGTGGTCAGCCCATCCCCTTTGGCAGAACTTTCCTCTCAAACCACAGAATTCATTGCCTGAACTGTTTTCAAACTATTACCAAGCAGCACTCCCTCTTCCCCATTGAATCCTCAGTTCCTGCCATGATCCTATAGGAAAAAGAATTAGGAGAAAATAGAAAGTAAAAAATATAGCAGCTATTGGCAAGAAAGTTTGAAATTCACAGCTAGAGATCTTACAGTTTCTATAACTCTTCTGTTAGTAAATACATACTTGGAGGGCTTTTATTTTTTTAACTATAGTCTAAACGTTCATGATATTTAACAATTTCCTTCATCATATTTAGTATCTATTTTGCTTCTGTTTTTTTAGGGCTGGAAAATAAAAATCAATTTGGGGAGATTGTTAAGCAAAAGGGGATTATGAGTATTTTATATTTTAAGACTACAGTTCCTCTAGTAAAGCCAACTGAGAAATTCTTCAAAGGTTCTTAAGGACAGAAATGAATGACAAAAAAAAACATGCAGTGTTCTACAGAGAAGGCAAAGAGAAAAGAGGATGCAATGTTCATTAGATTACAAAGCAAATTTTAGAATCTAGATGTATAGTATGTCTACCTAAAGTATGCTTAAAATAGCACACTCTCAATGTTTTTGAACATTCCCTCTATGATGTTCTCAGGTTCTAAAAATAAATTCTTAAAATACAACAAGGTTACATGTTTTTAAACTACTAAATGAGTCTCCAAAAATAACATTTAAATACACTTGATATGCCATCATTATCAATTCTGTAAAGCAACCTTTTCCTTCATAATACAGAAGAAAACCTGAATTGCCAAAAATACTTTCATTTTTAAGCAGGGAAATAAACCATGTAACAGTTGATCATGGCTTGGTGTGGTGATGCATACCTGTAATCCCAGGACTCAGGAGGCCGAGACAGAAGGAGGGCAAGTTCAAGGACAGCAAGACACACACAAACGCACACACAAATTAAACTTGCTCACAGCATTGCACCAGGCTCCTGAGATCCAAGGCAGTTTAGACTTTGAATATGAACACCTACATTGTCAAAGCGGAAAGAGGATGGTTTGACAGGTGATCAACCTCAGGGCACAGTGGGGCACAGATATGGAAGTAACTGTGACACCTGAAACACATGTGAGTCGTGTCAGGGCAGAGGAGAGGAGTCACCCACATGGAGGTGTCACTGAAAGCTCTGACATAGGTCTTCTGGAGAGTGATTATGTAGAAAATGAAGAGCTAAGTATTGGGAAAGAAAAGAAATGGGAGGAGAAGATAAGGAAATCTAAAAAGAGCAACAGCTTAGAAACAGTAAGTCAAAAAGTTGAAAGAAATGATCAGTGAACAACACAAGAGTCACAAGGTGGACAGGCTGAGGAAGGTGATGCACAAGGAATATACCTGGGGCCCCTCGCCAAGTTTCACCAAGTCTAGGGAGAGCCTCAGGGGGTGGGAATCTGACAAAACCCAAAGACAGGAGACATCTAAGGAAGCCCCAGGGTGTTCCGAAGTGAGGCAGCATCTGAAAGTGCCAACACCAGCCTGACTGTACCCAGACTATCTAACTATACCCTGTTCTTGTACGATACCACCACTGAGTGTCAATAAATGTGTCTCATCCAAGAAAGGAACACTGGTTCTGGCAAAAAGATGCATGAAGCTCACCAAAGACTCTGGCTACAAATCCCAGCGGGAACTGTGAAGCAAAGACGGTGAGAAACCATGGGGCAGCGTAGAGGCTGGGCCCGATCTCATGCTCCTCCAGGTGGTCATAGAGATCTCGGTGGTAGTCATGAAGTAGCCGTGAGAGCTGGTACATCTGGATCTGTAGGTGAGATGCCGAAGGTGCCAAGAATTAGGTGTGTGTTATACGTATAAGCTTACCCACCCTGATGCAGGGTCTAAGAGAATTACTAGCACTTTAAACCTTCTATCTGGATTGAGACATCCACTGATCTTGGGTACTGATCCACCCAACAAGGGCTTCCTGGGGCGCAGCTGTGCTCCAGGCATTGGCTGGCCCTGAATGCTAATGATGGGTCTCTTGCCTCTTCCTTTTCATTGTTCTCCTATGTAGCCTGGCTAAGAGAAATAAACATCTATCTTATGCAAAACATTTCCAAAAATTCTTATAAATATACCTTCTTAGAAAAACTCAAACCCTGGGAAATTAGAAATAAAAAGTCAGCCACTCTGTTAAGAGTAAACTGAGGACATACCATAGTTCTAGAGAGGAAATCCACTGTTCACAGTCACTTAGTCCCCTCCAGACCCCCAACAGTACACAAAAGTCAGGACAAGTGTTAAGTTTTAGATCCTCGGCAAGTTAAAACAAGAAATGTTTGTCTTAGGGTGAATAACTAAACACAGGTGCCAAAAATTTGAGTCTAACTAAATTGGACTCCAATGTCAAGGGTTCTCTCTTTAACAACAATAGGGCAGGAAGCTCACTCCAGTTCCTGGTGGCCCCATGGCTTACAGAGGCCCAGAAGCTACCCCAGATCTGAGCCTCAGGGCATGGGCCTAAAGGAATAATCCAGCGAGGATCAGAGTCTCACAGACGCTCCCAGTTGTGTATGTGCTGTATATGTACAGCATAAATTGGGAAACATGAGGCCACACTATTTTCAAGGGCTTGAGCAATAAACTCTTCTGAAGCACTCGCTAGCTGTGGTTCTTCTGTATTTAAAAGTTTAATCAGCCAAGGCTACCAGTCCAAAAAGATGCATATGTTATGCTACCTTATATATAATTCCAAAAAGCTTTCTCTCTGATGACAGCTACATTGAGGACAATGGAAGGAATGTAGGAAGAGCCTGACAGTAAGTATAGCAAGTGCTGTGTGGGTCAAATCTTTCAGTGGACAAAAACAGTTCCCTTTCATAAGATTTACGTTCATGGAGTTCATATTCACAAGTCAAGGCAAAGGACTGGGGGGTGGCACTGAGGACTAAACCAAGGGCCTTCACACTGACCTATATCCTCAGCCCTTTTTTTAATTCTTAATTTTGAGACAAGGTCTCACTAAGTCACTAAGTTGCCCAGGTTGGGCTCAAACAGGATATCCTGCTTTAGTCTCCCAGAGTGCTAGAACTAAGGGCATGTGCTACCATGCCCAGCTTGGCAAATGGCTTTTTAATTACACAATATGGTGTTCTCAAATTCCTTGCTTTAATGATACTTTCCAAGACTCTAAAATCAGAGTTCTGCCAGGAAATGAACATATAAACATGTGCTCCAATACTTCAAGCAACATTTAGGGACATTCCCGAAATTCTCCCCACCTCTGAAAGGTGGCAGGAGCAGCACCTGGCACCCAGAAGGAATGCACTGCTGTGTTTGGTTTCCTAATAAGACTAGTTTAGTGATGGCAAACCTTTTAGAGCTTTCAAACGATAGCAGCCCACTATGGCACATGTGCCATAGGTTCACCACCATGTATTAGTTCATTCAACAAGTACTAACTGTGCCTCCTTAATCTTGACACTGTTCTAGAAACTGGACACACAGCTCCAGGACGAGCAAGATCCACTCCCTCTCATGAAGCACACATACTGTCAGAAAACTAAAAAGTAAATGAGCAACAAACAAGGTAATTTCTACTAGTAAATGTGTTATGCCAAAGAAACAAGACAGGATAATGCAACCCCGTGTGCTTATGGTGGAAGTGAGAGGATGGAGCAACACAGTGTAGCTTTCCCTGGATGTGATATGTGCGTTGAACCCTGGACGATGGGGTGAGGGAGGGGTATGAGGACCATGGTCAGAGAGCAGAGGCATGCAGGCTGAGAGGTAGGAGTTAAAGACTGGCACACAGCGAGGGTTTGAACTGAAGCTCTGCCACTTGCTAGCTGTGAAACCTGGCCTGATTATGTAACTGCTTTGAGATGCTGTTCTGCTATCTACAAAGTAAGCCAGTTAATAGGGTCTTCCTGTGTGTCATTATGCAAACAAGTGTATATAAAGCACATGGAACAATGGCTTGCCAGGAATAAGTGATCTGCAATGACAACTGTCGTGATGCTGAGTGATGGTAAAAAAGCACCTTCCCTGTACCCGACAGGGCTAACGCACATCTTTAGCACTCGTGTTTATAGTGACATTATACCTGTAAAATAATCATGTCTGGGCGATACTGTTTCCGTAGTCCCATGTCAAACATCAGAAACTTGAGCATTTTAAATGCCTCTTCCTCACTCATATGCAGCAGTAGGATGCCCGCCACAAAGCTAAGACCTTGGCAATATCCTACTTCCTGGTCGAGGAGTGAGTAGGCCTTCAGAATGTTGTAAAGGGACAGCTGCCCTGCTCCAAGCTGGGCAGAGAAGTATGGATGCGTAGGAAAGGTTCGTCCTGGAAAAAGAATACAGGCAAGTTGTAAGAAAAAAAGAAAGCCCACTGAACCAGAGATGCAATGTGCTTCAGGTTAAAATAACAGGATGTTCGTAAGCTGGATCGGAACATAAATCAACTTCTGCTCTCTAAACAAGGGCAGCTGTTTGTCCCTGGAATGTCTGCAATTAGACATCAGCAATTAATTATGCTTTCTTTTGATGGTGGTTCAGGTGAGATAAATTAGAACCATCTTTGGTCCTGAAAATAATGCGGACTTCAATCTAAAACAAAAAGAAAATGGTTGCACTGTTAATACAACCTTTATTCTCAAGAATGCAACAGCTGTGGTTTCCTGACTTCCAGCCTCTCCTGCAAATGCTGCCAAAGGGCCTGGCCCGCTACAGACCCCACTGGTCAGTTTCCCCAGACTGCACAGACCCTGCTGGCAATTGCTTCTCTCCAGGTGGACATGTCTGCACTTTGAAACTCTAGTCAGTGCTCTCAGACAGACAGGGACATCAGTGTTTCCTTTCACACAACCTGGTCACCTTCCAGAAAGGCTTAAAAGAAGTCTCAAAATCTTGATCATTTTCAGAAAACACTGGTATTCAAACAAAGCTTAAAGACTTCTTTGTGGTCCAGGGGACTTTTGTGGCTGACAGCTGTCAAGGCCCTTTGCCCTCCTCCTTCTGGAAAGTGAAGATGAAGTGTGTTCCCAAGGGTTCTGAGAAGTGATGCAGCGGCCGAGCATGGACCCAGGTGAGAATGATGGGCCTGGCTGGGTCAACAAAGGCAGCAGGCTCATCTGCTCCACATGTAAACTGTCCACTGGAGCAACTCAGACTCAGCAGAGGATTTTTCGCTCACTTGCCCTTCCCCAGCTTCCGGAGATAGCATTTGCTCCATCCTGATGGGCTTGTCTGGACTTGGTATCAACGAGAGGATGGCAACAGGCTCCTGTTTTTCTGTAAGTATTTACTTCTTGCTTGCTCTAGCTTACCCATGACAAATCTTCCCTGGTGTCCCTTGCATTTGACATCCACCTCTAGAAAGCAAACCAACAGCTCCCCAAGGGCTCACAGAACGAACCCTCCACCCTCTCGGCCTGGTCTTTGCACATTCACCTCCCCACCTGCCCTCCCAGCTTTGTTCTCAACCCCAGGGAATAATGCTGGCCTATGAGCTGGGGCTCCAGGACGTCTGAACCCCTGGGTTGTGTGCAGCACCCGGAGTGTGTGAATGGAGTATGGATGGTCATGCCCGTGCATTCGTCTAGTTTAGAGCAGCAGGTGCAACCAAACTGTGATTCAAGCAATAAATGGAACTGAACATTTCTCAGTAGCCACAGGAAAAACAACTAAAATTAATTTTAATAAGATGTTTAATTCATACAAGCATTATCATTTCAACATGTGATCAATATAAAAGTTGAGCCATTTTGCCTTTTCAGGTAAGTCACATCCTCCATTTGGACCCATTATACTTTAAGAATTCAACAGCCACTTGTGGCACCTGTACTGCATAGCACAAGTGTACTGCTTCCCTCAGACCCTCAAAAACACCTAATATCCCTGTCACTCCACTCTCCCACTAACTCCCAGGCCAATGAAGCCCTTCCTGCCTCTGCACTATCTGCTCAGGCCCTTGTCCAGGCCCTATGTCCTTCCCCTCAGGTCTCAAACACATGCTGGAGGGAGAGGCCACAGGAGTCATGTGACACAGGGCAGTGCCAGGAAAGGGCCCACTGTTTGGATTTGTTATTTCAAGTTTAAGCAGCTAATGGGATCCTTTCCACTACTCAGACACCCTCCTCTCAGGGTAGGTACACCCCTCACAGGAGCCAGAGCACACACCAACTGGCCCTGTGGGAGGAGGGCCTTGCCCACTTTACCCCCAGGGACACATGTGATAATCTGGCCACTCAGGTGTCAGATGTGGGGGGGCAGCTTCAAGGCTGCATGTCTTGTGCAGTCAGGCCAGCTCTGTGTTTGGCAAGGCCTCATGGAAGGTTTAATGCTCTGCGGTCACTACCGTGGAATTCCTAATTTTTGAACAAGGAATTCTGCATTTTCATTTTGCAATAGGCCCTGCAAATTATGAACCCTATCTGGGAAAAGAAGCCTGCTGAACAGCCACAGAGGTAGCTCCAGCCACCTTCCCACAGCCTTGCTCCCAATGGTATATTACATGAAAACAAAGTGAACCTTAGGCCAAAGTCTGCCGAACACATGACTTATTATTCGAAAGCTGACAGGAAGGAGGAGTCACACGGAGTTTCTCATGGGCTCTGTCCTCAGTGTCTGACAATCACTTTTTAGGAAAGGTTCAGGTGGATGAGAGCACCATGGAAATCTTCCAGCCAGGACACCCACAGTCCAGTCACCTTGATGCTCCACAGAGCATGGGGTCACAAGGCTGACAGGCACAGTCCTCAAATTCTGTGTCAGGCACTGGTGGCAGGGCCCAGATGCCTTGCTAACCAACCACAGACATTTCACCAATAAAGAATTACATTTAATATTCCTTATATAAAGGTCAACCCTCTGACAGGCATTTCAGTGGCATTTCTACCACCATCTGTGGCAGGTGCAGCTCTGAAAAGACATTAGTCTCCGAACCTTGGCTTCCTCTCCTTTCAAATGGGCAGAAGGCTTGTTTGTCAGAACTGGGTGCACATGGGCAGGCAATGCCTCGCAAGAATGGCTACTTTGAAGATGCCCAATCATAGGCACAAGTCTGCAGCTGCACCACTCTCAAACAGCTTCTAGCCAATACAGAGAAAAGGGGCGTGTGTATGACAGTTCTGCAGCACCAGTACAAAACAGCTTACATTTAACATAAAAAAGCAGCATTACTTTATTAACTATAATGTTCCACAGAGCCTGAAAATCTCACAGTTTCACCCCAGCAACTGATTTTCACAAAATTTAGAATTTACAAACATGTAAAACTGAAAGCTGGTACAAAGTCCTAATCATCATCATCATCATCATCATCATCACCACCACCACCGCCTTTAGATTTACCAAACACCTGCGAACCCCAAGCTTTTTCATCGGTAGTTACTACTCAAAAGAGCTGAGTTATTTCTGTCATGGAGGTGCAGAAACAGCAACTGATTTTATTTATGCCATAAACCAGTCCCGCACAAGCCTGGACAAGCCGAAACCAATTTTTCAGTGTGTTTGACTGTGATTTCCAAACGCAAAGTCCTATTCCAAACAGGGCAGTACTTGGGGTAGAAAGACAGGAACCCTAGTCCACCCCAGGTGGGGAGAAGCCTAAGCCTTTGGCTTTGGCTTCTATCTGGTGGGAGAATGACCACCAGTCTGACTTAGTAGTTCAGTCCATGCTGCACAATGAATTTTATTCCTGGCTTCCTTTCTTTTAGCTCCACAGTTCTCAATCATGGTCAGTCATGGGACCTGGGAGACATCCTAAAGCCCTTTCAGGGGTCCATGAAGCCCCTTCCCCTTTCAACTACAGATCTGTTCAAAGTCAGCCTTTAGCCTTGTATGTCAAATAACCAAACAGACTGAACGAACCCAAGAGATGTCAGCGATTCTATTAAATCACATATTAAAGCTTTTTTTTCTTTGGAAGTCACTTTTCCCTTTTGAAAATGGTTATTTTTCATAATAGCTTTGTTTATCTGAATGAGTTTATTGCAGCTTTTTTTTTTTTTCTTGGTACCAGGAATCAAACTCAGGTCCTTGTGTTTGCGAGGCAGGCAACGGAACCACTGAGACAAATTCCCGGCAGTTACAGTTTTTAAAATGCTATTTTTATCAGTTTTTATTTTCTATATGGTAGATAATAATAGAAACTACTAAGGTAAACAAACCTTGTTGGGCCACTCAACGATTTTAAAGGTGAAAGAGATCCTGGGATCAGATCTGTGCAAACAGCACAACTTACCCACTTTCCTGACCACACACCAGGTAAAGAGGAATCAGGTGACAAGGGAAGAGAATGGATTATGAGGATCAAAAATGTTCCCTGGACAGCCCATATCCATATAACCCTCTATCCTGGAAGGCATTAAACTAGCACTGGGAAGAAAGAATGCACTCCCTAAAGACCACAGCCAAAACGGTCACCTGCAGTGGAGCTTGGAGCCCTAACAAGGTGCACATCTGAGGGCATGGTCAGCCCCCTGCACTTCACTGCTCACTCCAAGTACTGCGTTTATGAGCTAAACACTATCTGCTCTATGCTTAACGTTATGAAAAGATCTCAGTCTGCCTCAAGTTCAGTCTCAGCTGTTAAAGACATCACCCTCCTTCCCCAGGAGCACACTACCTTCACAGAGAAACAGACCTCATTTCTGCCAGCCAAAAGGAAAACTGGATAAAAACTGTAAAGTCCGTCCTATAAATGTACTGAAATGAAGTACCTACCTTCATCTGTATTTTACAGTTTGCCATAAAGTACAGAACTGCAGTTCCTTTCAATTTCTGGCTAAAGCAGCGTCTAACTTCACAGACAAAAATCAGGATGAGATTGTAAAGTGGAGAGTGGCAAACAAGGACACAAAGAAATACCCTTAATTACATTAAAAGCAAATTTAACAATTTTGCATCTCGTGTATCTAAGTGAACCATGCTGGAAGGTCTGACAAGGTGATCCACAACTCAGACATATTTCTAAGCAAACCAGAGCTAAATTTTCATGAAGTGCTCCGAAGGAATGTCAGTCATCTGAGGGACGTCATTCCAGGATGGATCCTTTCCTTTCACATCACTTGTTGAAGAATAGCTTCATCCTGCACTTCTCAGCAGGAGTCACATCAGGCCACCTGGTGGCTTGTTAATTAAACCTGTATCCCCTAGGGTGGCCATGGGACTGGCTCAGGCAGGCAGGAATGGGGACTTCAGGAATGTGTTTATAAGCGTCTCAAGAGACCCACAGGTGGTTCTAGCCCTACTGTAAGAACCTGTATCCAATCTTAGAGTATTCCTGCCTTATTCTAAGCAGAGCCCACCTGGCTTCATCTTGGGCAAGATCTCTAGTCAGCTTGGCACTGTCAACCACACAGCAGCTGCTGCAGGAATGGGCCACCTGCAAAGATATTGTCTGGCACAGGCTCTGAAAAGCTAACTGACAAGCTTATTTTACTCCTTTCCAGATTCCTGCATCTCTACTGGAAGCCAGCAATCCTACTCTGACTCGAACTCCGGCACCATGGTCCTCACTTGCAGAAGGAAGAACCCCCAAGCAGGTGATCTGTAAGATTCCTTCCTGGAAAAGGACGCATCATTCTAAAATCTTTTGCATTTGGCTCAGAGCAGAATTTGAAAGAATGGACTGAAGGGGAAAAAATACCCTTTGTGTCACTCTTCAGATTGTTAAATAATGTGGCCATCAGCTGTCCAGTGACTTCCTTCCCACAAGAATGCATGCTTTCTAAAGTACCCGTAGAATCACCCTTAATGCCATGATTGAGATAAGAAGACAGCACTCTTCTCTGAGCCACTGTTTCTAGGAAACATCTGACTAAGCCTACTGACTCCTGGGCTCTGTGTACATCTGTGCTCACCTCTGCCACTCATGACTTCAAGTCCAGTATCTTAAAATTGATGATGGTGGGAGTCTTGACACCAAGGAAATCTGCACACAAGAGGGGGCTGGAGGAACCAGCTGTTAAACACATGCCAGCACACCACTGAGTGGCTTGAAGGGTGCAAAGAGGATTTCATTTTCCTCTTTCCTTTTATCACCTGAACTTAGTTCTATCACTCTGAGGTTACAGGGGCACACTCAGAATGATCAAACCTAGACGACTTCACAATGTGACCTTGTTAATATCAGAAAGCACTGGCAGATCCTCTGGAATAAGGTGTGGCCACTGGTGCAGGAGTGTATTTGACTCTGGAAAGTGGTCTGTTTCCTTAGAACAGAGTCCCAAACCAGAAAAGAGTGGTTATTGCCTAACAAGGTGCTGCATGATAAATTTTAGGCACTTTTATGTCTTCCGTCATGAAGATATTTAGTTTCTCACACTGGACTTCAACCCAAAGAGGAAAGAGAGCAGCGCTCCCCACAACCCTGTTAACAGGGAGCAGGTACCTGCCACACAGTGCCTGGCATCTAGCTGTGTGCCCAGGCCAATGAGGCTGCCACCAGCCTGACAAGCAGAAGTAAACTTTCATCTGGTTCCTTCACTATGGAGGCTCTTCTACTCCTTGTCTTTTGTGGATTCTAAAAGAGCAAGGAGAACATTCTGCTCCTTGACACTTACATTAAAGTTTCTTTTCTTCTAGACACTTGGCAGGTGGGAAACCTTTGGTTAAAATACATTAAGTGGAAGTAAAAACCCACATGACAGATCTCATACTGGATCTCTAACCCAAATAGATCCCCTGGATATGGCTTTGCCACTCATGCAGCATGAGACTTGTGAATAAAATGCAGCAATTACTGATAGTGTAACAGTATGTCAGCCTGCCTACACCTGTGTGTGTGTTGTGAAGACAGGCAATTAATAAGCACACATGTTGTTTTCTGATTTAATTATTATTATTATCATCTTTTTTTTTTTTGGTTTTTTTGAGACAGGGTCTTACTATGTAGTTGAGCAGTCTCAACTACACTATGGAGCTCACTATGTAACCCAGGCTGGTCTTGAACTCACAGTGATCCTCCTGCCTCAGCCTCCCGAGTGCTGGGATTACAGGTGTGCGCCACCGTGCCCAGCTTGATTTAATTATTAAACTTGGACTTCTTGAATTGTTTCATGAAATAGTTAAATACTTTTAGTAGCAGTAATATAGAAACTGCAAAGATATATCAAATAAGTTTTGTTTTGTTTTGAAATAAGGTCTTGTATGTAGTTCGCAGTGAGTTGAACTCACTATGTAGGCCAGGCTGGTCTTGAACTTGCAGCAATCCTCCTGCCTCAGCCTTTTGAGTGCTGGGATTATAGCATGGGATTACCATGCCTGGCTTGACGTATCAGATAGTTTTTTGCTCATGATATTGTTACACAGACAATATTGTTAATATTAGAAAAAATAAATGGTTGCCTACTTATTAAATTTTGGGATGTACAGAGCTGCAATCAGACATTTAACTCAAAGAAAAACTTGAACATGTCTCTACTAGATTTTTATAAGACTTGTCTTCCCAGAGAAAAATATCCTTACATTCACAACCATGCCTTAGTTATGTCACTACTTTTTGGCAGTAAATTTGTGAACAACTGTTCTCAGGGATGAAGCAGATGAAGAGTGAATGGGACCAAACATTTCTCACAAGTACCTTGAGAACTACAACTTGCAGCCACGTCCACTGAGCCAGACACTGACACACCGGCTTCATCACAAAACAGTCAAATGTCTCACTAGTTTTATGTTGCCCTTTTTTAAATGTTATAACAAAAATACTGAAAAAGACATTTTGTTACTTATATCCATTAACTATTTTCTATCTGGCCCAACACAATTCCTCTTCACTCACGTAGCCCAGAGAAGTCAAAAGGCTGGATGCTCATGGTACAGAACAAAGTGTAGACTAACAGCCGGTTTGGTTCTGGCCTCCTGAGAGAAGGAAGGAAAGGGCCCAGTCTGGAGGTGTCCACATCAGGCCTCTCTGAGCCCTGCCCTCAGGAAGGCACCTGGGACTCCACCCCCAGGTCTGGGCCAACATCCAGGTTACCCAGTTAGATGGGAAGAGGAGTAACCCCAGGAAGATCTTTATAAACCGTGGGGAGACTCAGGGAGGTGGCTTGGGAAACAGATTCTTCCAAACAGAGGTTCTTTTAGGCCTTGGGAGGGCACCACAAAGGCGTCCAGGTCAGAACTGAGCAAGAGATGGGGCCAGCACTGTCAGTTCTGGGAGCTGCAGCGGGCTTCTGGGGTGGAGAAAGAGAGCAGAGACGGCGCAGCCCAGCCCTTCCTATGAATCAGGGGCTTTCAGGCAGCAGGGGAGGCTGCCTGTGTACAGCTCTGAGGACACAGCTCCCAGGAGGCCAGGCGGGTGGGGTCCTGGCACTGATCTGTCCTTTCTTCTGCTGCAGAAGGGGGACTAAATCTGTGCCACAGGAGGCAGAGGGCTGGTTCTGCCCAGGAGGACAAGAGGGTTACAGAAGGGAAACTAAGAGAAAACAACACTGGAACAAAGAAGGGGATTGATCACGTTCTCTCCTCCTTTCCTACAAAGGAAGTTCTACATTCCCTTTCAACCTCCTGCCCTAAATTTATTTTTCACTTCCTATCACGATAGGAACACAATGTCATTTTTTCTGTTACTCATCACATTAGCCAACACAGTTACCGCCAATTCACCAAACTGCTGTCCTCAGGGTCAGTGGAACCAAGGATTCTGACTCCACTGAGGCCCGTTATGCATCTCTCAGCACACCCTTTGTCTGGCCAGCCACTTCCATAGAGATCCTCTGGGATCCGGGATCTTGGGACAGCAGGGCCCCACTCTGGCACAGCGTGACAGTGGATTTAGGTCCTGGCACCTCCAATCAGATGGCTGTGGGACTGTGGTCCACATGCGACATTTCCGTGTCTCAATTTCTTTATCTTTTACAGGATATGGGGCCAGCTCTCAAGGGCTGTTGTGAGGGTCACCAGAGGCTGCTGCACTTGTGCAGTGTCACACAGTCAAAACCTCAAAAAGACTTACTGTGTACCTACTGTATGACAGCACTACCCCAGGGGCTGAAGGTGTAGTGGTGAAATGGCCCTGTCCAACCTAAAAGGGCTGCCCGGCGCTGGGGAAGGGAGAGGAAGGCTCTGAGGTCACACGGCTCTGCAGCTGATTGGATGTTTCATTTTGAGCAGATTACTTAAGCTGTTTTATTTTTTCCAGTAATATCTCTGTGATAGGGTTGTGAGGATTAATGGAAGCAGATCAAACACTGTAGTGAAGATTAACAAAAGCAAGTCAAGAAAATTTATACAACATTCAGCGGAGGCAAAGTTGAGAACCAGCTTTAAATAATAATAAATATGACAAGCATCATGGGGAGAGAGGATGGGATGGGAAGAGGGACTTGCCAGACAACTAATCTAGACTGGTGTGGGAGAAGAGACGACAGTCAAGGACAGTTTGTCAAAGATGACAGCTAAGCTTAGACCCTGAGAGTAACCTCGAGGGTCATAAAACCGTAAGACTACTGTGTGGTTTGAAGGACAAAGTCTGGCTGTGCCTGACCCAGCTTGCTGTCACCTCCATTGTGTCTGGGGATGCTGTTAGAATCCACACAGCCAGGCCACAGCAGGGGCCTGGGGAGGCAGCAGTGCCAACCAGAACAGGCACTCTGGAAGCAGGGCCACAGGCTCCACCAGCAGCCATATGCTCGGCTGCAGTACACAGAGCTGGCTCCCACGAGTGGAGAAGGAAGCCTTTGTGAGATGCAGCAGGCAAGAGTGAGCCACGGTCACCTCCACCTCTGCCTGGCCACTGACAGTCAGAGGGGCCTTCATGTATCTCAAACACGTCTCAATCCACAAGTCCCTCAACTGTGGCAACACCACATGTCTCCAATATACTGCTCACAGCCGTGTTTCTAAAACTGTCAGGAGACAAGGTGTTGCTTCTTTCCAAAATAAAGTCGCCTCAGGCACTAACACAGCTTTCTACAATGTTCCTGATGAATTCTGTTTATGAGCAATGAAGGCAGGGGAGTGCAGTGCTCTCTGAAATTCAACCAAGCTATGTTTCCGGGATGTTCCAGGCTGAGTATGAAAACGTCCTATGCATATCTAAATTATTGAACTGACCCAGTTATGACTTAATGAATACCCCATGCCAAGCAGACTGAGCCAGCTCCCCAGTGAAAACAGGCTTTTTTATACTTGTGGAAGACATTTGTGATCACTCTAAGGCTTTTGAAATTAAAAGTCTCGGTAGTAAATTTTGATTATTAAACCTAAAGGCAGGTCACTAAATAACCTGGACAGTCTCTTCATATTTCTCAAGTGAGGGATCCTTCCATTTCCATCTCCAGTTGACTGACATAGACTCACCCAGGTCGATGAGAATTGCGTGCTGCTGGGAGGTGAGCTGTTTTAAGAGTTCTTTGTAGGGCACATCCTTCGGCTGCTGCTTACTGGGAAATGGATGTCTCAGGTGGAACTGATCAGCCAGAAATTTCCAGATTTCACCCCGGTGGTGACGTGGCACACCTTTAAGGAGAAGGCAAAAAACACAAACACAGACTTTATGCATAGAATTTGACTGAATACAGTAATAAAAATGAAAGAATGGAAAGAACCTCAAACTTGTCAGTCTGACCCTTCCTCTCTACCCACCATTTTGCCCTCATTTCGCTTGCCCTGTCCCTTCTGCCTTTCAGAGTTATATTGTGCAAGGGAGTAAACTGAGGAATATGACTGAGCCACTACCAATTAAAGACATTTTCGGAAAATAAGACCAAGCATGAAGAAAGACAGAGCAGGCTGTGATCTCACAGCAGGGAGACACCTGCAGTGAGGTAGGGCCCAGGTGACAAGAGCTGGCTTAACTCTACCTGAGCAGTCTAAGTTTCACAGAACCGAGCCCTTAGGCCAAGCCTCAAGGCTGAAGGAAAAGGAGGAAAAAACAAACTAGAAAGAGGGAATCCCAAGTGTTTCATTCAGAGATACTTTATGTATAGTAAGTACTTGTTTTCTCCCCTCTTGTCAACTTAAAAAAAGAAAAAACCAAGTTGGCCTGTGGGACAAACACAAGTCCCCAGCTATGTAACCACAACCATGACACCTCTGAACAATTAGAGGAGCCTTAATCTGATGATCTTGTGCAGTGTGTTGAGTGGTGACCCTTCCCAAAGGATATATTTATTTGATTCCAAATCCCTGCAGCCTGTGAATGTTATTTCTCTGAACAAACAGTCTTTGTGAATTTAAGTAAGGTTCCTGAGATGAGGAGCGTCCTGGGTTACAGGTGGAACTCATATCCAGTGTCAAGTGTCTCTGTAACAAATACTCAGAGGAAGGAAGCAGCCTGACCATGGGAGCAGAGACGGAGGCCAAGGAAGGTGACAGCGAGCAAAGCAACAGAGGCCATGCACAGCTCAATCCTACTCCTTGACTCTTGGCTTCCAAAATTGTGAGGGGGAAACTTCTGGTGTCTCAGCCACCTGTGTTGCTGCAACTTACTGACAAACTATGGTAGCAACAGAACATGAACAGGCCCTACTATCTGCTTTTTTGTACTATTCTGTTTCTTCTTGGCTACCATTCCTTCAGAGATGTGTCTTGGCTGCATATACTCAGGCATGCACAACTCTTAGTGCTTTGAACCCTGACTAACCGCAAATGTGAAGTGAAAGTCAGCACAGCAACTGATTTGTAGTGGGGTTTTTTGGACAGAATGTTTTTGGCAAATGGGAAAACTTTTCCCAAGTTATGAGGTGTCCAGTTTCCTCTTATTACTAAATCATTCCCACTATCTTATCAGAACTTTATTTTTTGGAGGAAGAGAATCCTGGCTGTATCACTGGTGAGCACTAGATATTTTGGGATTCTTCTGTAAGCTTTGAGTCTGTGATTTAAGCCGGGGGTCTTGAGAGCCAGATACACGTTTCTTGCTAGAAGATCCCGGGATACCCCTTCAAGGCTCCATTTTGCTCTTCTTCTAAGCCGAGAGAGAACTCTGGCAGTAGAGCCTCCATGGCCCTCAGGTGGGTTTTAGTGGATAGGAGTTGGATGATCACTCCAGCTCCAATGCAAATAACTTTCTATTTTTACTGATTTGAAAAACAGTATTTATTTACTATTGAAAAGCAAAACAAGAACAAAAACCAGAAAAATCCTCTGAAAAATTCAAATCCTATGAAGAAGTGAAAAACCACCTATACCTAGAACAGACATAATTTACCATCTAAAACATAAAACTTAGAAAGGGAAAAGGAGAGAGGCTAATATTTTATCAGACAAGAGCTGAAAATCAGGGCCATATCAGGTAAGCTGGGAGATCTGACAATCCCACCTATAACCCAGATATTTGAAAATATCAAGTATTTCCTGGATGTTTTCTTTGCTTTGGTTTGGGCTATTAACACCACTATAAGTATCCTTCTATCTGCAGTGCATTTCGTGTTCACTAATTTCTAGAATAAGCTTCTATAAATCTCATTGCCAGGTCAGAAAAGCAGAGTTTGCACCTGGCCCATGCTGCTCTTGTTACTCTGCAATTTCATTCCTAGAGAAAATATGAGGCTTATCAGGCTGGAGACCTAGGTGTCTTCTGAGAAATCACTTTGACTCAAACTCCACTCTGAATTACCGAATTGGAATTCTTCTTCCTTCTCCCAACTTGACTGTCTAATACCTGCAAAGTTTTATAAGTCCCTTTGCTTGTGTCACTTGGGGGCTCTGTAGATCAAGGAGCAAGGCCTCATCACCCACACAGGACTGTCTTCTCTTTCAAGGTCTCTGAGGTGACACAGCTGTTCTGATTGAATCTCATGTTTTGAATCTGAGCCACAAGATGGAAGTGTTCATCTGTTCAGAGCCTTTCAGCCCCTTGAAGTGCTGAAGCCAGATGACACAGAGAGCCCCTCTGATTGTTCGACTGAGCTCCTGCAGCAAAGCCAGGGGACCCAGGAGGAATTCCAGGTCAGCCTCACTCACCCCAGTACGTAAGCCATGCAGTCATCCACATCTGATGGCAAAACACAGTGCCCAGATTCCTGGGGTGTTCCTATTTGTCCCCCTCATAAAATGCACAATGAGAAACAAAGGTCCATGTGTCTGGCCCCCGAGAAGCTCAAGCATTTGCAACAGCTGTCACAGAACATGCAAGGTCTTCTGTAGAATCAAGCCCACCAAAGGCCATCACCTATTCAACCCGAATAGGGAAAGAGCAGGCACATTCCTCTCCCTGCTTTCTCCTTTTTCACAACAGCCAACTGAGGCCACCTGGTGTAGGGGTGAGTCTCCAGCAGTTCAGGAGCCCCAGTAGGGGTGAAGAATGTCAGAACTGCCACATAGCGCCCACCCCTCTGCTCCGGCCATGCCTCTCATGCTGGCAGTGAGGAGGCAGGAACCCAAGGTCGGACTGGAAGCTGCTGACAACTCAGAAGCCCGGCCTTCACCACTGCACACATTTCTGGTTTCTGAGCATGCCCCACGGAGGTGCGACTCAACCAGAGGTAGCGCAGTGTGATGCTCAGAACCCTGGCAGCCTCCAGAAGCCCAGCTCTATGGCCCAAGACCATTATCAGCCACTCTAAGCCATGTTTCCCTATTCATGTCACAGGAAAGGTAAGTTACAACGAGCAGTAACCACCCATCATCACTAAAATGGATGCTATCAGAACTCAAGGTAAAAGGCTTTAAAATGCCTAGAAGATTACAGGAGAACTGTTTTGCTCCATTAACTCTCTCAGAGACAAATAACACTTATACCTATATAATACTCTTTCTCTGCACAGTGATAAAGTCAGAAGGGAACCATAAATCTATATATACATTTGCAACCCTGATTCCAAAGAGCTGGTTACTCAGGACTGGATTAAGCAGAACTTAGCACTAGAACCTGATTAAACTCAGAAGGCTCTTACTCTTACCAGCAGATGCTAATGCACATTTTAAAGGAAATCACTGCCTCAAGTTCTGTCCTCCCTGCTCCATGGACCAGTAGCAGTTGGGACAGGCAGATAACGCCAAGAAGCTATGCTGTGCATGAGCGGTATCAGCTCCTTCCTCCTCACAACCACTGTCCATGTCCCATGCCGACGCGGAGACAGCGCGGCCCACAGGTACAGTCTTTGCCTAACATCACGCTGCAAAGTGAGCGGCAGGCTAGGATCTGAGCCCAGAAACTCCTGTCTAACCTCTGTGCTCTGCACTCTATTTTCTCCCTAGAGTCTTCAGAGAGAAGCCACACAATTAGGCTTTAGTTTACTACTTAACTCAGACTAAATCATCCCATCGTTATTCAGTTTTGGACAATTATACCCTTGGGTTTTCCTCTTTTGTTTTCCTATGTTCTGGTTTTCTGGGCATTTAATTTAATTAGGAAGATTATGAAAGGCAGTGAAACTCACACCAACTAACTATATCTGGCAAGAGAGTAGTTAAAGGGGTGATGAAATGGAGCAAGGTGGCCACTTCATAAAGGTGGACTCACAACATCTTCGCTCCACCTGTCACTGAAGAAGGCGCTGTACCCTGGGGGGATTCCTAATGAAGCTTACCTTGCCCAACAGCTGAGTGCATTTTTTCCATATCAAACTTAATTTTTGATCTTCCTGGAGTGCTAAGCATCTTTTCCCAAACTGTAGTTACTTCTTTAAGACAAGGAGTGATTTCTTCGTAGTCAAGTTTCAGGCGCTTGTTCAGCAAATCGTTCTTGGAAGCTGGAAGAGACCACATCGGGGCACATTACTGGACACCTCAGGTACAGGTCACACTACCTGACATAAAGACTGCTCCTGAGATGTGCAGCAGACCCAGCCAGCAGGGCAGGTCCCATAAAAGTCACCCTCTCCTTTCACAAAAATGCTAAAAACCTAGGAAGTTCTTTGATTTTTATCCCCAGTGTTGGCTCCACTGCTAAGATATATGCCACATCTGTCCAATTCTTTCCATCTTTATGGCTGGGTGTTATAATTCCCAGTGCTTGGCAATGATTAGAGCTCAGCAAGTATTTTTCATCTAAGCTAGGAGAGGCACTTTGAAGCACAGTTCCTCCTTATCTAGAGCCAGGTATCCTTTCCAGAGTATCTCCTGCAGATCATGTTTCTGCTTCCTGGAGCTACACAATACACACACTCCTTTCATGCAACAACTCCTTATATATATGAAGACCACTACTGTGTCCCACCAAACTTACTCAGCCTAAAGCTGCACCAAGAAGAATTAAACATAAATTACTAAACTGGAGAAATCAATTTAAAAAAATCTTATATTGACTTTTTATTTGGTACCGGCAATTGAAGTGAGGACCTCGCACTTGTGAGGCAGGCGGTGGAACCACTGAGCTGAATCCCCAGCCCTAAATTGACATTTTAAATTGATTCTCCAGTTCAATCTCTCACTTCAGGGACACAGACGCTAAAGTTCAGAGATTAACATGCTCACAACAGAGGTGTAATTCATGTCTTCCTGCTGGCAGCTTGAACCATCAATGGTACATGCATGACTGTCCCATCGGGTGGCATCCAACAGTCCTATTGGGTGGCACAAGCTGCCCAATGGGACAAGCGTGCATTTTCCATCAGTGGTTCAAGCTGGCAGGAATGTGTTAAGTGAAGTGCCCAAGGCTGTTTAGTAGCCACTAGGCAGCTGGGTGATTCTAGGCCTTGCAATGACTTCCTCTTGCCTTTTAGGATTTTTCATGTACCATCTTTATTCTTTTCCTTATTCCTTTGAAGAAACTGTTTTGGTGACTTGTTAAACATTTCCCTAAATCCCTGGCATTAATAGTTTTTTTAATGTTAACCTTTTGGTTGTTTTGATTAGGAGAAGGCACAACAAACATCAAGAGAGCTGAGCTCGTGCTTATAGCAAGCTGGGCTGGGATGAGCTGTGCTCCAATGGTTGGAACTCACGCTTTCCAGAGCAGTTTCTCTAGCAGTAAATTCTGCTGTGAGCATGCCTGGCTCCCCTCTTACAGCCAGCAAACAACGTGAGGTACTTGCTCTAGAGTTCACAGAACTGCACATGGCCAGAAGACTCAGCTGCAAACCCATGCATTTTGCTGCTGGCCTGAACAACATCTTCTGCTTCAGGATCCTGACATTGCTGCCTAAAATCAGTGGCCTCCAAAATTCCTTATCAGCCAAGGCAGAAGGTGCAAACCTGCAACAAAAGCAGAGCTCCCAGGGAGTGACTTCAGAGACAGGACCCAGCTGCTTACGTTATTATACAGGAGTCTACACGCCCATGCTGTCTGTGTACACAGAGCATGGAACACACATGTATGTTCCAATCTGGGCTCTGTGATCGATGCTCAGCTCTGACGTCTGCACACTATTCAAGGCTGTCACTGCGCTGTCCCCAGTCCTTCTCTGTTAGTGGGCAAATGTTTTAGCTGACAGACTCTTGGGCCAACTGCCACCATCTCTCCAAAGCTTAGAAACAGAAAGCTAAGAGGTTCAGCAATTAAATGACCCTTACACTTGTAGAGGTGTTAGGCAAAGTACACTCAGCATTTAATTTTTTTAACCACAAACATGTATTAAGGGAAAAGCTTTTGTAAATTAAAATGTCATTAGCTACAATTCAAAATTTAATGTTATTGCATTTGTTATGAAAATGACACTTGAAATATTTTAATGTTACTCATAAAATGTTGAGTTTCATAAATCAGTCTGACAAGCAAGAATATGCTGACCCCAAATGATAGTTGTCTTGAATCACACCTTGCTGTCGCGTATTAGGCTGCTCATATTTTTATTTAAAAATAGCAAGAAAGTGACCTTGCAGAGAGGAACAGCAGAGGATTGCTGGCTTGGGAGAGAGGTGATGCAGTTTATCCTTAACATCACTGCAAATTAGCTGTGCAACTTTGGGAAAAATCACAACTTCAACTGCTAAGTGTCTACAATGGAGTAAGGTAGATTTAAATGATGTAGCTTGATTCTTTCCAGGATGCAGTGCCTCCAGAAGAATAATAAATATTTGATCCATATATATGAAAGTAAGGAAACAGGGTTAACCAGAGAAAGAACTTTTTCATGCATGTTCCTCCCCTCATTTTCCCAAGGACTGTGCAAGCCAGCTCAAACACTTAACTAATTGCAAAAGCCACATCTACCTACAATTTAACCTGCTTTTAAGAAGGAACAAGAAAAATAACAACATCACAGAATGGCTACCTCTCTAATACTGGGCACTTTGATTGGTTCTTGTCAAAATTTGTTTCTGCATTTAATGAGAAAGTTCTACCCTGTCTACTATAAAACTTCTTAGTGCAATTTGACTTAGCAATTTGGTCATGCTTTGACCACAGAGATAAACTTGTGTTAAACTACTATACATAATTAAGAGAGAAAAAAAAAAGAGGAAAAATTAATTTAAACAGTAAAAACAAAAGACCAAAAGAACAGAACACTGCTAGTAAGTCCAGTGAAATGAGGAAGCAACAGAAAGATGCTGGCAAGGACCTGTGATCATTATATAACATCTGGCCAGGTGTTCCAGGCAAAGCCAGACACTCCACCTGTCTGGTCTGTCTAGTCATCATCTGCACAGCAGCGTGCACTTTGCTTTTGTGGCATACTGATCTCATCACATCAATTACGATCCTAATATCTAACATCTACAAGAAGCCAGGCAATGTCATTCCCCTTCTGCAGCTGCATCCTGGTTTTTACATGACTTTCATTTAAGAAGATTCATGACCCACACAATGAATATGGCTGCCTTTTTGCTTTTCAGCAGAAACTTCAACCTACACAAAAATGTACATTCTATGGTCCAAAGCTGTCATTTAATTGATGACAGTTATGATTATCAAATAGTTTTAGACATCTGCTTTCAGAATTACCTTTCAGAATACATAACGTAGAAAAACAGAGTTGGAAGTAATTTTAGCATTCATCTGCTCTAAACTCCTCTTATAATGCCTTCACCCTCCACTGCCCCCTGATGGGATGACCCACCTCTCTCAGCTTTGATACTGCATCACAGAGAGGATGGTTCATTCAAAAGCAGCCCATTCTGCTGCTGCACTACTTTCATAACAAACGTATTCACTTCTTTTTGTTCAAAAATAATACACTTGACTAGATCTGTTTATGTTTCATGAATCTAAACCATTCTCATCTTCAGAAACCACACTGCAAGTACGTGGTGTTGTGACTCATGGACCTGCACGGAGAACAGTCATTTAATCACTGTGCATCAAGATACCAATAGGGCCAGGTGTGGTGGCACACAACTGTAATTCCAGCACTTGGGAGGCTGAGGCAGGAGCATCAAGTTTGAGGCCAGCCTGGGCTACACAATGAGGTCAAGGCCAGCCTGAATTACAGAGCCAGATCCTGTCTCAAAAACTCAGATAGGAATGGCAGGTTCCTGTAAAACTGGACTTCACAGCATGCCACAGATTCTCAGGGGTTTATTCTTCAGATTTGGCATATTACTGGCTTTAGTTTTATACAAATATCAAAGTCCATACCAAATGACAAAAGCCTGGCAATCAAGGGCAATGCTCAATGAAAAATACTAATTCTAAACACTAAAATTAATTCTATAATCGCTCTGGGCAATAGCGGTATGACTGACTCCTGCTCTAACTTTCCTTTAAAAGAGTATGCTCAGCCTCTGCCCTCTAAATCTTGATTGCTTTATACCCAGACAGCTCTCTATCCTCTAGGGCCCACAATTCTTCACAGGTGTGTATACTTCGCTTCTTAAACTACTCTGGCAAGGACATTTGATTGATTTAAGTGTTGGCATAGAAACAGGAAATAAACAAAATCTACACTTTCCAAGTCTGTGTCATATTCTGATGTTGTTTAAATCATTCAGTACAGGGAGAGCTCAGCCAATGTTTTTTCAAGTTGTCTACTACTCAATGAAAAGGCACACAATGAGATTATAAACTTTAAGGACTCAAATAGAATCATTTGATACCTAACACTTAGATAGATTGTGGCTGAGGACGTAGTAGTAAAAAAGAAAACAAAATACAAGAAAAAATACTTTTGTGGTGCTGCCACCTGCCTCACAAGCACAAGGTCCCAAGTTTTATCCCCAGAACCAAAAAAAAAAAAAAAAAAATAAAAAAAAAAAAAAAAAAAAAAAAGTTTTTTTTTTTAGAAGGTTGGAACTTAAAAAATTGCAGCCTGGATCTCAGAAGTTCTAGACACTGTATTAATTAGACTACATAGGAATAATTAAAATAGTTAACAAAATTATATTTAAATCACAAAGTAAGTAATGTTGACATTACTTTGAAAAAGTAAACAGGTAAGACTGATACATATGTAAGATAATATCCTTGATTATATTCTTAAAGAATGCATTCTTGCCGGGAATTTGGCTCAGTGGTTTTGCCGCCTACCTCACAAGCACAAGGGCCCCAGTTTGATCCCCAGTACCAAAAAACAAAACAAAACAAAACAAACAAAATGAAAGTGTGCCATCTTGCAAGAATACATTTTTATATTTGATAGATTCATTTCAGAGCCAAGATTGGGTACAACCCAGCCTGCTCGGCTTCAAACCCACCTTGTAGCTTCTGATTTTCCTTCTCCATCCTCAGCAGCAATATCTGCTGTAGAATGGCCTTTCTCCACAGCTCCCGCAATTCCCGAGATGTCCTTTTCTTCTCCTCCAGTACAGGGCCGAAGGGCCCATCTTCACACACTGGTTCCAAAGGAGACCGCGGGGGAAGCTCTCCTATCTCTGAATAATCTGGAGGAGGAAAAGAAGGTTCCAAAATGGTCAGTTTTCAACAATTTTTGTTTTACATATTCAAGCATAGTGCTAAATCAGGAAATTCTTCTCATTTAGATAAAACATAATAACATCACCAAATTAGAAATTCATGTTTCACTATGTACTGGAATAAACTTGGTCTGAGCCATTAATATGAAACAATGACACATCAGATAGTAAGTAAAAGTTGCAGGGAATTAGTAAGGATGTTACTTTTTAAAGTGTAGTTTTATCTTCTACCAAAGTTATTTAATAGCTGATAATATTAGCATTATTATTATTACCGTATTACTGATAATATAGCATTACTGTTTATATTACTGATCATACTGTATCAATGATATTATTACTGATTATTACTACTAATAGTAACAATCATAAAGAGTCTCCTATGTAGCAATCTTGGCATGGTGGAGTATGCACGATCATATTCTTAAGGCTACGTGGATAATTGTTTATTTAATCTTCACAACGACCTTACGACATGGATACTGTAATTGTTTAGTTTTAAAGAAGAGCAAACACAGGGAGGTTACATAGCTTGCCCTGTGTCACACAGTGAAGAGTCAGAGCCACCCCAAAGTAGTGGCCTCCATGGGTATCTTACTGTTACAAGGCTAGGTATTCACAAAGAAGATTACAATATATTTAACAGTAATTCCTAACAGTGACCACTGACAGACCCCTTTAACAAGTGGTGGGTAGCACTCTTGGAGGTGCTAAGGATCCTAGGCTTGAACTATGCCCCAGTCCCCTTCCCTCACTTTGGAGAAGGATTTTGCTAAATCCCCTAGGCTGGACTCAGACTTGCAATTCTCCTGCCTGAGTCTCCCCAGGACTTGGGATTGCAGGTGTGCACCACTATGCCCAGCCATGCCTGTCATTTTACATAAACAGACTTACTACTTGATCCAGATGACAACCTCCAAAGGTAAGTAAGTATTAGTCTGGCAAGGAAACTAAGGCTCAAGAAGGCCAAGTGATTTCCCCAAGGTTATACAGCAAATAAACAGATGCACTGGAATCTAACCTGTGTCCACCTAGCTCAGGAGCCCACCTGCTTCCCACAGACAACACAACCCAAATGTTTCCTATCTCATCAATTTTTAAATTGGGTATTAGTTTTGTATTTCCAGAATGTGAACCTGTCTCATGTGCAGCAGCCACGTTCTGGTATGTACAAATGCCTCCCAGACACACACACAGAACGGCCGCCTGCACACAGAGACCCTAGCTATGAAGAGCAGCAGAGGCTCCTGTACAACTTGGCCTCACACGATGTAACATTCTCAGGACTTCGGTGCAAACGGAACCTTTGAAAATAAAACCACTGTCCTAATGCGTGCAGTGAAAAAGCCTGAGCCTCAATATACCCCAAATACAAACCCACAATTGCTTCCAGCTGATATGTCCAACCAACTTCATGGTGTGATTATTTTCTGGAACAGTCACCAGCATTAACTGTGCACTATGTTTTCTAAAGTTGTATTGGTTTTTCTACCGTGAAACCCAAGAGAACAAATACAAGCACAAACGGTTTAATTTTTAAAAATGACTTAATCATCTTAATGCCCTTTAAAATTACTAGATTAAAACTATGCTTTATTAAGAATGCTTTATGAGCTCTTTAAGTATTTCAAGTTAGAGCTCTAAATTAGAGCTCCATAGATTATCATTACTATTCCACTACACAAATGAATAAAATTCTATTTCCTTAGGGATAAGAAGTACCTTGACAGTTTATGCACCTTACTGGAGGAAGAATGCTTAATTTTCAACAAAAATGCAGGAATAAAAACTGTCTAGACAGTGTGGCTACAGTCCAAGTGTGGCGTAGAGATCCACATGTAAAGAACTGGGTCCCAGAGTAGTGGTGCGAAAGGATCATAGCACCTGGAAGAGGTGCTGGCATCACTGGAGAATGCCTTCAAAAGAGGCTATGGAACCCTGGTCTTTCCTCCTCTTCTCTAGTTTAAGATGTGACCAATCCTTCCAACACGTGCTCCTGCCACTGCTATCTGGTGCTTTCACCAGGGGCCTAAATCCTGGGAACACCCAGTCTTGGATGTGAAGTTCCAAAACTATGAGCTAAATAAACCATTTACCTTTATTAAATTTCATGGCAGTAACATAAAGCTAATAAAGTTACCATATGAATATTACTAAAGGTAGCATCGTTTAGTGGTTAACAGGGCAAGTTCTGAAACTGGACTACCTGGGTGTGAATTAAAACTCTGCTTACTAATTTTGTGATCTTTTGCAAGTTACTTCATTTCCCTAAGCCTGAACTTTCCATTGTGTTGAATGGAAAAACATTCAATCCTGCACAGTGGTATCAGAGATACCGAGTTAATACACAGAATATTAAACATACAGAACAGAGCACAATACACAGTAACAACACAACATAGGTGGCAATTTGTTTTGCTATCATATCATCAACACATTCCCACCAGCCTGGACTGCCAGTGTTATGTGCATGACAGTGTCATCGGGCAGCTTGTACCACTGGTGATAGAAGTGGTACAGTCAGGCACTGGACAGCCACCATGTGTACCTCCAGTGGTTCAAGCCATCTGGCAGTGAGACATACAAATTACAGTCTCATTGCAAAACAGGAAGAAAGGGGCTAAAGGTGTAGGGAAAGGGGGAAGGGTAGGGGAAAGCTAATAAGGGAAAAGAAAATATATGAGCAAATGAAGAAATGGAAATGAAGTGTTTGCAAAGGGGGAGAGAGGAGGGGTGAAGGGAGGGCAGGGACAAGGGGGGAAAATGAGAACCAAGACCTGTCATGTAAAGGTACAAGATCCCAATGATGAATGTAACTGTACTATATACCTAAAATGTACCCATAAACTCAATGAGGAAAAAAAAAGGACACAGAAAAAGTACTGGAAAGAAATAAATCAAAACTGTACCCCACTCAACTGTAAGGCTTAAGACAGCTAGAACCTTGTCATGTTCAGAAGGGCTTCCCCTCAGTAAGCCCAGCACCTTGCGTCTAGGAGCTGCCTAGTTAATAAATAAAAGTAGAACAGGAGAGGTATGTGGGGGCAGATTTGGACACGTTTATTTCCTGTATTTTCTAATCTATAATAAACATTTTTATAATTAAAATTAAAGAAAAATAATGTAAACATATTCTGATTAAAATCAAAGATGGAAGAGTATTATGTAAAGCACACAGAAAACAAATCAACCCCTCCTCTAAAACCATAAATTAGGTTAGTTAGTACTGAATATGACATAGTTTATTTAAATCCATTTATCTAAAAGGAATATTAGTATTCTTATCAAATCTTATCCTGCAGCTTCAGGACTTCTACTTGAGCTCTTTTCTTTCTTCTTGTGTTCTTCTCTTACTCCCTCTGCTGGACCACGCCGTTATGTTTAAAGTTCTGCTTTATTTCATACTGGAAGTATTTACACTCCTACTGGCATACAAAGAATTCTTGTTTCCAAAAAATAACTTGTGAGATGTCCTGGCTGACCTGGGAAGGCAGGAGATGGAGTGCAGGGACAAGCACAGCTTTTGAATGTGCTTTCACATGCTGGTGTAGAGCACCCACGGCCCACCCAGGCAATGGGGCTCAACCCCACTGAAAGGTGCAGCGGACCCGAGTTCTTCTCCTTTCTTAAACCCTACTGATAAACAAGGACTCACCTTATCTAGTCTTCTTCCACTAATTCCACCCGTCTTGCTTACCACAGCCTTTGTCCTCCTGTCTGAAAAATTGCTACTACATTACTTTCAAAAGAGGAATAAAAGTAAAATCTTCACCCAAATTTATTTACTGTGGTAAAAATTACCAAACCAATTTTTTAAAAATATTATTTTCTGCTCACGTTAAGAGTAGCCTAGTTACCTGGGCCTGGTGGTGCATGCCTGTAATCCCAGCACTTGGGAGGCTGAGGCAGGAGGATTGCGGTGAGTTTGAGGGCAGACTGGGCTACATAATGACTTCAAGGCCAGCCTGAACTACATAATGACCCTGTCTCAAAAAAAAAGATTAAAAAGAAAAGAATAGCCTATTTACAAAGCAGCTTAGTGATTTATACATGCGGTAGTTAAAACATTTGTTTGCTCTAAATTTGGCCTGGCTAAATTTATGAGAATGAGCTGTTTTCTTATCGGTTCAAAAAGATTTGGGACTTGGCCATGTCTGTGCAGTGTGAGTCCTCTTCCACCCATGTGTGGGTCTAGGCCACCTTATGAGATGAGCACTCTCAAACACAGCAGCTGAACCAGAGGGGCAGAAGGAAAGAAAAATGAAAAATGTAGGATGGTATAAGCTGAGAACCAGGTTCTCATAATAAATTAGACATGACTTTCAAGTGCTAATTCCTAAGCCAATCACCTGTATTCATCGGATCACCCATGTACCCCAGTGACTGATATACAAGGTGGTCTACAAGAGCCATTTCAGTTCTAATGTTCTCCAGAGTAATGCAGGGATCTAACATCTTTCCTTCACTTGGGTTCTCGATAAAAGTGCTGCCTAGAAGCCAGTGTGGAAAAGCACAGCCCAGTATAGTAAAGGCTGAGCTCAGGGCTGCTCCGGCCCTGGCCAGACTGTTGGTGCCTCTTCGTAAACACATAGTCCCTCTTGGGTTCCAGTTCCTCCATGCAAAATGTAAGACGTGTATTCACCTCTGTCCAACTGGAGAAGGCAGGCACAGACATACAGTTTTACATATTTATAAGGTCTGCAAAGCCACAAAACCAAAGGGCCACAACAACACACTAGGATTAGACTTTACTCTTCTGACATCTCTGACAGGATACAGAATATGCAAATTACGTAGATTTCAGAAACAATAAGTTCTAAAAATTTTAAAACCAGTGATAACTCAGGAACCCTAAGAGACAATTGTCTCCATTTAAATCACTGCTGTAACATTCCCAATAAAATTAGAAGTATGAATTATGCTCATGTGTTGCTATTTTAGATGCCAAATTATTCTCCAAAAACTCT